CTAGGATTGACATAGAATCTCAGGCTCGTGTCATAAATCAGTTTTCTGATTATGCTCGATGGTCATAGAAATCAGTTACGAAGTCAAAGTCACTAATGATCAGCTTGACAGATGTGTCACACATACAACCTACAAGTTAAAAATCATACTATCGTTGAAATATTTATATTGTATGAGAATCACAATAGTGATACAGCTTGATGATTCAAGTTAATATTCGAAGCAAGAACTTCGTGGTTAAGTTGTTCCGGATTTAACCATTACGTCACGGATTTGAATCTCACTGCACTTATAACAATTTGAGCAATTGGATAGTATTACTACTTACTGGCTCTAAAACATAAGTGGATCTTAAAGCTAAGTAAACAAATCTGTACTTGTTAAGTGAGTTACATCAAAAAACATATACATAGTTCCCTTTATTATTTTAAAGAGAGCAAGAATAAAGGTTAGTGCAGAATAATATGAATTCTTTTTGTATACAAATATCTGGTTTTAAACGTTTGATTGCTATTGCTTCGGCGACTTTCAAAAGGTTTGAGTTTGATTGTTTGTTGATCACCTTGAAGGACTTCAGTATATCGACTTCGTGTCCTGTGTCAAGGAGATGTCTTGCGACAGCGCTGCTAAATGCTTTTAGTCCGTTTGATCTCAAACTTTTCGGAATATGTTCTTTGAATCGGACGTAGGCTCTCCTTTCTGTTCTAGCAATGTAACTGCTTTGGCAGATACATGTAAATTTGTATGCACAGTTGGTGGCAACATGAAAGGGAAATTCATATTATTCTGCACTAACCTTTGTTCTTGCTCTAAAAAAAAACATATATATATATTTTCCTGGAGTTCTAGTGAGAAGCATTGGTCAGTGGAGTTCAATTGGGTCTGTTTTGAGAAGGAACCTCGGTGAAGACAATGGTGGACAGTGGTTCAATTTTACGGATTATTGAAGTTAGATATTAACATTATTGGATGTCGGCTCAGTGATCTAGAGGTTAAGCGTTCGAATCTCGCGAGGCGGGGCCGTGGATGCGCACTACTGAAAAGTCCCATACTAGATTGAAACGATCATCCAATATTTTCAGGTTTTCCATGGTGGTCTAGCTTCAATTGACTCATGAATTCAACTATTCAACTTTTATCATATCCACAAAAACCCATTTCTGATATATACATATCCTTAAAATTGATCACCATAATCAATAATCAATTACCCAGGTAACATAGATGTACAATTAAAGTGTTAATAACATGTTACTTAATTTCAATGATCGACTGAGAGATAGAAATGTCTATAAGAGAGAACAAATAAGAAATCAACATGATCTCAGATTTGATGAGAAAATATTGAATTTTTATATTTACATACCTGTTCTTAACATAAATAACAACAAAAATAAAAAAGTCAAACATTGATATAGTTAGAGCGAATTAATTGATTGATAATGAGACATCTAGTAGATTATAATTTATGGACGAGCATTGGGCGTCGCTAAGGTGACCCTGAGAATGTCCACCTGTTGACTAGGACTAAATGACGGTTATAAAGTAGTGTGAATAATTGGAATTATGATTAACAGTTGATGGTTAGGGTTAAGAACTAGATCTAGAGTTTTCATCACAATTTGACATCGGTTAAAATGCCAAGATACTATCTAGCCAGATGGATGAATGAAGTTCGTGCCAAAATCAATGACCTGTTATCTTATATCTGATTGGCTCGTTCATGAATTATAATCTCGCCACTGAATGATAATTGAAGCTTACAATTGGAAAATGGTTGTATCATCGATTGTAGAACAGTACTGTAGTTGACCTTGTTTAAATTGGTACCCTACTAATGTGTAATACATGAGTCAAGGAACTAACGTTCATAGCTTTACACGGATTTAACAAAGAAGGTGTAATCCAATTAGATTTCTGAAAAATTGATTTTAATCACTACTGATAAAGAGGGAGTGATATTGATTACTAAACTTAAATCTCCAGGTAAGTACAAAAAACACCGAGAAAACTGTCCACTTGGTTTTTAAAAAAAGTAGTACGACAAAGTTAAATAACTAAACTGCCAATAAATTTACTGTTGTTTAGGTGACTAATATTATAAAGTCAGGTATCGAATACAAGTGTCCAAACTTATTAATGGTTCAAATAGTAGGGAGCTCAAGCATTACAATGATATGATGACATATAGCAGAGAAATGATTTAACGTAATAAAAATTACATAGTAACTTAGTAAATTCATTGTGAAACCTGGAGGCAACATACAGGTGCTTCGGCCGAGTATAAAACTGCTTAGCAGAGTAATTATTTAGTTCAATGAGTGACACTTGTCTCAATTCCGATACATTTGAATTTTCCATAACCCTATACATATAACTATCATCTGCTCACTAGCTTCAAAATGCAACTCGTGGAGTTCTAGTGAGAAGCCGTGACCAGTGGAGTTGAGACAGTTATCCACTACAATCAGTGGATGAAGAGTGAGCAATATAACGGAATGACTGAAGTTAACAACGTTGGATACTAACTTAGGGGTCTAGAAGGTAAATGTTTGACACGCGGCAACGAAGGTTGAATTCTATTATTCATAAATCCTTTCTAGAATTCCATGAATCCATGTTAAAAGAAGTTCCAAATTAAAATGAAACAGCTATTCAGTACATCCCGGTTTACAATACTTATTTAATTAACTCTATTCTGTTAATGTTAACTACAGATAAAGTAAATCATTGTAAGTTATTCTGACAATTAACAGATCTTTAGTTTTAGTATTGAGATTCATAAAAGTGTAAAAATTGATGAACTAAAATGGAACTGTGTTGTGAGCTACTTATATCCACATAAGTAGTATATAACGATAGTCAGGAATAGATTGTATTTCAGTAGAACATCGAGAAAGAAAGAACAGGAACAGAATGCAATTGGCATGAAAATACAGGAACAATGAAATCTCAGACGATGGACTGATATCTGCAAAAGAAACAGTCGAGTTTGAGACAATGGATTGATATTTTACAAATGAAGTGTTTACTGTATGGGTCTCAGATTTTAGTGAGATATTCTGTAATTTCGTGTTCAGATACATTCGGTTGTTCCCATTCGTGTTCACTACAGAGTCAGACGTAAAAAAGTTTTCTTTCATATTTAATTAACTAATATCGTGACTTCATTAATTTTTCTACATGCGTTAAGAATTATTGAACAGTAGACAAGCCTTAATAGCAAATGTCCCATTCTCCTAATGGGATTGACTTATTTCTTTTAATGATATAATAATATAGCTTGACTTATTACATAATACAGAAAAGAAATTACAAATATCTAGTGAAGTGAGTACATGGGAACAATTTGAGAAAGAACTTAACAAGACAATTTGTTGAATGGTGGATTGTGGAGACTGTAGCGATTTTAATTGTTGAATTCATGAGTTAATGTAAGCTAGATCGAAGGCCATGGGTTCGAGTTCCATATGGGAGATCGTGAATGCGAACTGATGATAAGTCCCATACTAGAACGAAACAATCATCCAGTGCTTCCAGGTTTTCAATGGTGATCTAGTTTATATTGACTCATGAATTCAACTATTAGAATAAATTTTCATTATTGATATCATTTACAGAAACTGTGCATTAGAATTTACAGTGATTTAATGAATCCTATTTTTTCTATTCAAGGGATAGAATAAGAGCATATCATAGAATTTTTGGATACTTCATATACTACTAGTAGGCTGCGTATTGGTTGAAGAAAGATATGCAAAAGTATCGTAGACGTCACACTTATAGATCCATTGCACAATCACAATGTAGTATCCAGAAGCTCTACAGTATAATTTTTATCCAAATTTTCGATAGACTATTCATTTATTAAACCAGTATAAATCCTGCTTTACAGTATCAGCAAGCGATATCCTATAACAATATTTATTTATTTGAGCACAAACATTTGTAGGAGGCACCAAATAGATATACGCCACATAAATCATTCGATATATGTGAGGGATGGGATACTCTACGGGTGCCCAAACCAAAGCAGGTGGTTTTCTTAGAGGACCACGCCCGGAGCCTTCGACCTAAAGGTCTGATCCACAAGGCAGTGGAGCAGCGTAAGGAGATGCAGTCCCATTGTAGCCGGTGTCCAACAATAGGTTCATGCGGCATTTGTCCCTTTAACATCCTGGAACTCATGTCCATCACTGATTTAAAATCAGGGTTTTCTAACTCTTCTAGATGGACTCTCTGTGTCCACTAATCCGGCTAAAGCGCCGGACATTCGCTTTCCGTCCTTTAAGTTTAGTAAACAACACCTCCGCCGCGATAAGACAGTGAGCAGGACTTCCCTGGAAGTGGTTATATGCACGTGGCCATGTGAGAGCATTTCGAGAGCGAGGGCTGACTCTCCCAACTCTCGACCGTACTAGGGCATTTGAAGGCCCTCTTTCGTTAGATTACAGCAACATTCAGAATGACTTGAACTAATATTTATAACTTACTAACCAAAACTTATGTACGTTCAACGCAAAACTATTGTTAAAGTAGGTATCTTGTCGGTTGTTCGATATCTATTTACTAGAACGATGTTTAGAAGCTAAATTAAATAATATTTGTCGAACACAACGCTTACTTAACAGGAAATACTCTGTAACGATATTATACTTGTATATATTTACCTTAGAATTTAACAGGTTGTGAACAAGACTGGTTATGTGAAATTTCATATCATATAGTCTTTTGAAAACGATTTACGTTCAGCCCTCATTAACAGAGTGTACTCTGGATCCTCTTAAATATGATGAACCTAGGATCTTCAAGTCTTTAAAGAAGTAAGTTACAATTCTAGATCATTGTTTTAACATCCAAAGGTTCATATTTCCAAATATAATCAATATTGAATAGATAACTTTAAACTTTACAGATCAACAAACTTAACTACAAGTAATAACCACTAACAGAATACATCCATTATACTATAAGAGAAAAAAATAATTTATTTCATTTTTAAAAGATCAAATGAGCATTATTTAAACAAATTATGCACAAATTCAAAATTCAATGTTATAATCAATGAAAGAACAATGAACATCAAAAGAGGAAAACACAATTGAAATTGATCCACATAAACCTGATCTATCTATCTATCTATTTGTGTATGTATAGTATGAAGAAGACATGTAGTCGACAATGTCAAGAACAAACAATGAAATAAACTATAGAAGGAAACATTAATTAAAGTCAAGAAATCCATCTATCTGTCTATATATATATATAGTGTCGATAAATAGTAGTCAAATTAAGTAGTACATACACAGGCACCAAGAAAAACTAACTATGACATTTTCTTAGCCATAATTTATGAATACAACATATATATATATATTAATGTAATATTACTAGAATAATGAATTGTTTTAAAACATCTTTCTGTATATAAACCAATGACCACAAAGAGAAGAAGAAGAAGAAGGAACAGAACTGAAAACCATACTCCATTCATTTATAACAATTCACCCATTTACACACAATATCGATAGAGAAGAAAGATTAGAACTTATGAAGAAAACAAACAAAAAGCCACACAAAGAAAAATCTCGTTCTCCTCCTCATTATCATTATTATTATTATTAGAAATACAAACAATGAATGCATTTAAAATCAAATCTCTATATGCCTGTATAAAGTAATAGAAGGAAATAGAGTGGAATGCAGATAGTAAACAGTAAATGTATTAAATTTTAAAGACAAGAAACAAAATAGAACCTGTGAAAAAAAAATTGTTAATTACCTTTTTTGTTTTGTTTCATTCTTTTATCGAATGTTGTCAACATTGATAGAAGTCAATATAACAGTCAACACATTTAGTGTATAATATGTAGTTCTGCCAATGTATTTATGTGTGTGTGTGTGTATGAGCTGATCGGCGGCCTATGCTCCATCGGGAGTAACAGGCGTAAGTAAGTGTATGAGCGTGTGTGTGTGCGTGTATGTGTACATTCCCAAGGTTTTTTCCCCCCATTTTAATAACATATAAACATCATTAGTGTAAAAATTTAGGAAACAGAAATAATCGACTTCACAAATACAGGGATTTTAATAATAATAATAATAATACTCGCTTCATGTAAACAAAAAATTGACAATCATTTTTACTCAAATTAACAAAACCAAAATGTCACGAATGATGATAAAATAAGAAAGAGAAAAAAAAGAGAAAGTGAGCAACGAGGAAAAATCATCGATAAGTATGAGAAGAGACAAGTAAGTAAGCAGATAAGTAGATAGATAGATAGGTAGGTGAGTAAACAGTAGTAGTATATATTTCTTTGTTTTATCACGAGGAAACGATGCCGTTTATTATTTTTTTTCAATAAATAAATCAATAAACAATTTAATAATATGGTATATTTGTAAAAAAGAAAAACAAGCGTTTTTTTTGGGGGGGGGGTTGGAGAGAAATAGTACCATTAACAAAACAAACATGTTAATAATTTTAATAAGAAGAGAGGTTATCGACTATAACAATAAATTAACTATACTAAATGGTATTCTTCTGGTAATTGTAAATGTATTGCACACAGACATGATCATACTTTATGAATAATGAATGATTATGACAAATACATTTCAATTTGAAGGCATCAGAAAACCATACAGACAGTATTAGAATGACTCTTTTTTATTTTTATTGCCCTCAAACGTATCATTGAGATGTAGATGGATGATATGATGAGAGTATGAATAGAAAATGAGAATAATAACTATGAACAATACTGAAGAAGAAGAAGAAGACGAAGAAGAAACTGATTAAATAAATGATGAATATGTATTTATCATATAATATCATGTGTTAAATACATACTTCCCATTGTAATACAGCTGTATCTTTGCCCCCAATAGATATTAATCTAGATCCATCATATAAAAATGTTACATTTGTCACATGACTTGAATGACCATTATAAGCACGAAATTCAGCCTGAAATAGAAAATGATAAAAGAGAATTGATGTAATGATAAAGGTGATTAATATGAGCTTGTTTATGGTTGTTATTATTATTATTTTTAAAAATTAAACCTTAGTATTCATCTTATCTGAAACTGTATGATTTATTTAGTAGTTAAACGAATGAAGATTTGCAACAAATTCACAACTACTTCAATGTGTGAATAATCAAAGTATCCAAGTATATCAATGGTGGGTAGGGTTAAATATCCCTATCGAAATTCTCTTATCTTGGCCATGTGTATATAGTCACTCATAAGGAAGTTCTACTTACTGCTTTCTCGTAGCATCACTGTTGTTTACGAAAATGAGAAAACGGAAAGTGAATGTACAGCGCTTAAACACGGTTTGTGGGTACATAGTATTTATTATTATTTATTATTTATTTGAACACATAAATATTGGTACAAGAGAGCGCCAATATATATGCGCAAAAAAAAAAAGAAAAAAAAAAAAAAAAAAAAAAAAAAAAAAAAAAAAAAAAAAAAAAAAAAAAAAGGAAGAGGGAAGTGGGAAAAAAAAAGGAAAAAAAAAAAAAAAAAAAAGAAAAAAAAAATAAAATAAAAAAAGAAAGAAATTCTTTTTTTCCCCCCCCCCCCCCCCCCTCCTCCCCCCCCCGCATCTCCACCCCCCCCCCCCCCCCCCCCCACCACACCCCCCCCTTCCCTCCCCCCCTCCGCCCCCCGGGGGGGGGGGCGGGGGCGGCGGTATTATAATAATAATAATAATAATAATAATAATAATAATAATGATATTATTATTATTATAAAAATTTATAAATTTTTTTTTTTTTAAAAGAAAAAGAAATTTTTAGAAAAAAGGTTATCTTAGGGGGCCACTCCCCGAGCCTTTGACCTAAAGGTCTAACCCACAAGGCAGTGGAGCATCGTAAGGAGATGCAGTCCCATGGTAGCCGGTGACCAACGATTGGTTCATACGCCATTCGTTCCCGCAGGATACTGGAGCCCATGTGCACCATTGATTTGGAATCCGGTTAAAGCGCCGGACATTCGCTTTTCGTCCTCTCATTTTCGTAAACAACACCCCCGCCACGAGAAGGCAATGAGTAGGACTTCCCTGGCAGAGGCTGTATACGCGTGGCCGTGTGAGAGTATTTCGAGAGGGAGAGCGGACTCTCCCCACTCTCGGCCGTACCAGGGCATTCAGGGGGAAGAGTTGGGAAACCCTGTTTACTAACCAATACTAATGGTGCATATGAGCTCCGAAATTCTGGGGAAATAAAGGACGTATGAAGTTATTCTTGATCACCGGATACCATAGGATAACACAATCAAGAATCGATTAAATAATTTCAAGTGAAAAGTTAATATTTATGCAGTCACACATATCATAAATAAATTAATTAATAGGCAAAATTATTTGATCAAGTAATTACACAACTTGATATTGAGTAGTTATTAAAGTACAGAACTAAACGACAAAACATCCAATTACTTCACAGTCTGGAAGTTTAAGTAATAGTAGTACCACTAGCTATCAAAGTAAAAAAAGAACGGTTACTTGAACTACAATGGTGTACATAACTTGTTACTCGTTACTGTGCTAAAAAAATATTATTATCACTATTACCTTGATTTTTACCTAGACAACCAATGATAAGATTTGAGACAGATTCTTTCCAGTTTAGGTGTAAATCATTTTAATCTATAATGTTAACTATATTTTGAATATACAAAAATTGGAAATACGAAATGATGGGCTTCAGTTCAGTCAGTCAATCTTAAGCAACATAGGATCTGGCACATATATACATATAATAGTCCAAGTTCTGACACCATAAAACACATCAAGAGGAATACCAAAGAAGTAGAAATAGTAACAGTATCAGTGTTAATAAACAAGATTAGAGACCAACAATTTTTATTCGAGAAGAATGAATTCGTCGAATAGGAAACTTTAGAAATCATGACCTACAGAAATACATGGTGAATGCATTAAGACAAACTAGAACACTCAAATGACATGAAACTGTCAAACGTAAGGAAAATTCTCTCTCTCTCTCTCTCTCGAAACACTCTCACATCGCCACCTGTATACACTCATGAACGGCATTACTGTTGTTTACGAAATTCTGAGGACGAAAAGCGAAAGTTCGGCGCCCTAACCAGGTTGGTGGATATGGAGGATCTACCTGGTGGAGTTGGAAAACCCTGATTCCAAATCAATGGTTAACATGGGCTACAGGATCCTGAGAGAAAAATTGACCTATGAACCCATCGTTAGTCACTGGTTACCATGCGACTGCATCTCCTAACGTTGTTCCACTGCCTTATAGATTTGACCTCTAGGTGAAAGGTCCGTGGAGTGGTCTCCTAAGAAAACTACCTGTTTCGGTTTGGGCACCTGGTCAGTATCCCAACATTCACACAAATCGAATGATTTGTGTGGCCTCCTTGTAGGAATGTTTATGTGTTCAAATAGTATACAAAAATAATATAAGATTCTAAGTTATACTATACATCGTTTCTAACCATTACGATATATATGTGGACAACTCTAACCTGATAGACTACACCTATCAATATGACCTAATCCAACAATCAAAGACTCAATGAACTAACTGTTATTTAAGAACATTTTATTCATCAGAAGATTTAAATATCCTCAAATTCAATCCTATATAGAATCTTGATCCATATACCCTATTGTTAACAAGTTGAAAACAATTAAGATGACACAATTATGTTGATATCTAACCAACCATCACCTTTTGAAGGAATTCACTACCAAAATACATTCAACGTAAAAACATAATAATATAGAAAATTGAAAGAACCATTGATAATGTAAAAACGAAAGGGGGACATTATATTACAAACATCAGATATTACATAAACACAATATGTGTCATCTGATTTTCATTTGTTTAAACTCATATATATATATATATATATATATATATATATATATATATATATATGTACGTGTTATTTATAGGATGTTCATTAGAGTCGTATACAATTAGACAAGTAGAACGAACATTCTGTCAAAATGTCAAATAGATACCATAAATATGTATTAACCGATATGACAGAAATCAAACTAGAGAACGAAGAATAAATGAATAGTAACTGCCAGGAATTATTTATGGATTATTAATAATACATATATTCTTATAGGGTAATTATAAAGCAACTAGATTATATACATGGTCGTATTCTTTTTATCATAAAACTTCATTTGACTTATTAGCTAGTGTCATACGATTTACCAATCTTAACTTATTCCTAATCCATTCGTTATAATCTCTCACACTCACAGGAACTTTTGGCTTGATTTTGTATAATAATTATTTTTTATTTCATGTTGTGATGGGGTCTGGTCTGTTTGTATATAAACCATGTATATTTGAAATATAGGATTCATATAGCGGAGGCTGATATCTGTATTCTCAACTGAACAGGATGGGTTAGGCGAGAAGTTACCATACAAAGGATCGATAAGGACTCAGAGTTGACTCAAGGCTGTTAATGCTTGTTGATACATCGTTGATTTAGCACAAACACAAGGTCATAGAAGTCTCTCATTGGCGATTTCGTAACACAATATTTAACGGGATATAGGACGTAACAAATAGAATATCGGTTGATGTCAATAATGATGTGGTTTGTTGTGTGATGAATAAACACATGAATGAATGGTTATGGATAATTTTCGTAAGTTGATTAGACACGATTCTATTCGAACGAGTAAATGGCTTCTTTGTTTAAAATAAAGGAAATAAGAGTAATGAGAGAATTTGGAATGTATTTTAGATGAAATTACAGTTTTGATTGTTTATTACACATAGTTTATAATGCATTTGTGCTGTTAATCTGTTAAAATCGATGTACACAATTCTAATGTTCCTCTCTAGAGTAACACACGAATCCAGTTTTAAACTCAACATGATCCCTGACATGTACATATTGGTATATATATATACCGCAAATTCCCTGGTACGTTTGAGGATTTTTAGAACCCCCCGCCCTATCAGCAGTTCTACCCACAGCATTCTCGCGGCATTTCTATTGTTTGCGAAAGTGAGAAGACGGAAAGTGAATGTCCAGAGCTTAAACAGGGTTCTTGGGTATTCAGTATCTACCTAGGCGAGTTAAGCGAATAAACCCTGATTACAAACTAATACTAATGGTGCATATGGGCTCGCTTTGTTTGGTACCATTTCAACTGGCAGGAGATTGAAACGACGAGAAAACTTTGAATTAGAATCTTAACAAGACTACTGAACACATTATGGTAGTTTTCTGATATTCTGGCTAAAAAGTAAGTCATGATTAGCCAGTGAGCAAAGATGGACATATGTGTTTACATGAAATACAAAAGACTGTCATTTGTCTGTAGGACTGGTTCCTTTTTTTCACTTTCATTCCATTTATTGGCCGTTTTATAATGTATTATTAAAATGTCCTTCTAGATTCTGTCTGGTTCTTGATTTTTTATCGGATAGCTAACTCAAGTGCATCATGCACCTATATAAGATCAAGTAAAACGATCCATTGATTTAGTATCCAATCTAGTGAACTAGTATTTAAACTAAATGATTTATCTAGAATCGTATTAAATGTGGAATTGTGATCTGTGAATCTTGTCCCTTATTGTTATAACATTTCCTCTCAATCATATGTGAGTGATCCAGTGGGTGATCCAGAAAATGTCTCGCAAAAGACAAAAAAGTTTCAAAAAACAACTAAGAAGCATTTTATCCAATCAGCGTTCACTAGAAGTTTGGAGAGAAACATCAAGGAAGTGAAAAGTCACATGTAGAGTCTCTGATTGGCTGATTACTACACTACTACTATGTTGAGTAGCATTCCAGAATTTTCGTGAAACCTAAGGACATCTAAAATATCATAAAAACCGTATAATTTCTGTACTAAAACGAACTGTTGGAGTAAAGTGCTTCTCGTATATTTTGTGCCTCCTCTCTCGTATACAGGTCGCTGTTTAGTTCTAGCTTGGGGGTTACGAGAATAGATTAGGCACCAAATATAGCGTTCAATTAGCAAGACTTATCAGTAATGTTATATGTATAGCTCATTTTAAATTGACTTAATTCAGGTTATAAATATTAAAGATGATATCTTTTTTGACAGACTAATATTAACTAAACAACTATCATCAACAGTTAGAGTAAACTTAATAGTTGCTTTGTTCAAAAGTTACACTTTCACAACATCAAGATACACAATCCATATCACATATGATCAACTTTAAGTGTTCATTATCAGTTCTTTTTGGATAAGAACACTTTTTTTTATGTTTACAGGTCACAAGGCCCATTTCTTTCTAAAATATTTCTGGAACCCAATTATATTAAATTTTTCAATAGACCAGACAATATCAGGAGTTCATTGAATGTTATCCATTCATTTAACTATCTTTCCAACGTGTAGTTCCTTTCAAATCAGAATTTTTTATACAAAAAAAGAACCAAATATTGTTAGGTCCCGATAAGCATAATGAATGGTAACTTTTGGGATCCATTTATAGACCAATGCTAGACGTATGTTTTTATTGTATAGTTGTTAAATAACTGAACTATTCATATTCATGTCCCTCTTACTATGAGTTTTATTTTGACCTATGAACTATTATTATACGACTTGCCATTCTTGAATTATTCTATGTCTATTAATCACTACCTCCCCCATTCACAGTCACTCTTGGCTAGATCGTGTACAAATGTTATTTTCTATTTTATGGCACGTTGTGGTCTGTTTGATTGGTATATAAACCCAGTATGCATAAAATATATGATTCATATTGCAGAGGCTGAGACTGACGTTCTAGACTTAACTGGCTGAGCTAGGCGGAAAGCAGGGCCAGTCAGAACTCTAGGCTGCTCGCACGTGTTTTACGCGTCCTTGGTTCGATCGATAATTCACTGCTCTCTGATTGGAGGTATTATTGCGTTATCCATTAGCAGGGCACTCAGACCACAAGTTATAATAAGTATACAATTAGTATGTAAAATAAAAATCTTACCTTTGGTTTATTAGTTGGATATTTGAATAGTTTAACTTTTCCATAATCATCTCCAGTAGCTAAAATATCAGCAGTTGGACTATGATCACAAGCATTAACATCAGTACCATCTGAATCAGATGGCCAAATTCCAGCTACTTCCCAACCAAGTGTACATGTTTGACTAGCCCATTCTAAATCACGTAGTGTACTAGGTGAGACAACCTTGAAAATTAGAGATAGGAAAATATATACACAATTATTACATTAAATGAAGAAATTCGTGACGTCAACACCTTATTAATCATTAAGTAACATGAAAGAAGGGCTTATTAAGAAACCAGACAAATTGGAAAGTGCAGTATTAACAAAAACTGATCTGGAAGCACTGGACAGTCGCTTCGTCCTATTGTGGGATTCCTCAGTACTGCGCATCCACGATCCCATCTCGCGAGATCCGGACCCAGGAACTATCAGTCTCGCAGGCGAGCGCTTAACGGACCTTCCACCTAGAGGTCTAATCCACAAGACAGTGGAACGTTAGAAGACCTACTCTGATGGTAGCCGATGACCAACAATAGGTTCATACGTCATTTGTTCCCTCAGGATCCTGTAGCCCATGTTAACCATTGGTTGGGAATCAGTGTTTTCAACTCCTCTAGGTGGACCCTCCATATACACCAACCCGGTTAAGGCGTCAAGCATTCGCTTTTCCTCCTCTGAATTTCGTAAACAACAAAAATGCTGTGAGAAGGCAGTGGGTAGGACTTCTCTGGTAGTGGCTGTACACAGGTGGACGAAGTAGTCTAGTTGGAAAGACCAATTTATTATTTAATGCAAAATTAAAGAGTATTTTCGTAAAACAATGATAACCAAACATTAAATACATAATTTGCATATTTCCCTTCAGTTGTCCTTTACATGCTTTATGATTTCCTCAATTCTGTTGTTATTATGATTTATTTCTTTTTCCCTTTCTGTTCTCTTCAATTGTGGATTCTCAACCTTCTGCTGAAAGGCAATCCACTTCTCATTGGTGTTACATACTATGGTGTATACTATTTATATCTGTCGACACAAGTAGTATGCAATAACAATCGGAAGTGGAAAACCTGGAAACAGAAAGCTAAGAAGATCGATTTGAAGTGAATATAAGGGAAAATAAAAATGAACTGTGAACTTGAAAAATCATACAGAATGTGAAGGACAAACAATGAAAATTCGCAAATGAAGTATTCAATGTATGGTTCATATATTTCACCAAGATCCTCTGTAATTTTGTGTTGAAATACAATTGATTGTCTCCAATTGAGTGTTTGTTCATTACAATACTTCTTATATCTGTCAACATAAGTAGCATACATTACATACTTATGGTTAGCTAGACTTGAAACAATCAAATTAATCTCATTAATCTTAGATCAGGTGAATGATGATCTAAAGCTTTTACTTATACTCATTTATTAGTGTAGTATACTTTGTTAAGAACACTTTTGCGTCAGTAACCAAAAAACGTACAAAATCGCTAACTGAATCGTTCTTTTCTTGCAAACTTAAACTGTTTTTTGTTTAAGGAGCTACAGCTTGTTGACTCATTTTCAGTTAATAGGAGTTAAAGGGTAGGGTAAGAGAGGAAGAATCTAGAACTTTCTAGGGTATAAATTATAAATGAACTGATAATTTTCTGACCTTCGTTTCAACTTTAACTTACTTAACTTGCTCATTAACAAAGTTTGACTAAAACAACAAACTTTGAGAAATAAATGCATTATTACAACAAACTTGAATACGTTTTTGTATTGATTGTTTGAATATCCCCATTGATGTTTAGGACTGCAATTGATCAGTCTCTTATTGACAGATGTGTATCCTATGCGAAATGCCTCGATAAATTGCCTTAAGTCACAAGAATTATAAGCAGAGGTGATGAAGCGAATGGCACTGAGTTCTAGTTCCGTAATGAACATCAACTCTATGATGCAGGTACATCAAGCTAACGAGTCGTAAATAGAACGAAATGCGTGTCCTGGATTCCACCGCTAGCCACAATACATCTCTGTTTATAAGACTTGTATTCGTTAAATCATATGTCTTGAGTCATTATAATTTTGTTCGGAGATTTATGCAATGTTACTTGGCTTTAAGTAACATTGATGATACAATCAAACCGTAAAAATCAAAACAGAACGAGTAAAGCATAATTCAACTTCAACTGACCACTAATTAACTATACAATTTGCAATAACGAATAAACATTCTTTAATTCATTTTCAAAATAGAATAATAAATAGAACAGGTCACTTGTTAATAAACTTTTGTTACTCATAACCGATAGGAATGCATTACGTCGTGACAAGAAAAAAAACACAAATAAGTCATTTATATACAACCAGTTAAAAGTATGCTTTAATGAGGGCTTTCACTGGCGCTAGGAAAATAACCTTTCATAACATAGAGCCAATCGGAATGTAGATTGTAGGAACAAATAATTAATTAAATAAACGCTTTAAAGAAAAAAAATTTTAGTGTTAGAATTAGGTTGGGGATAAACTCAATGTTGTCAAGCCATCTGAATGCATCGTAGTGAGTAATTACGGTTATGTTTTCGTTTATTTAGTCACTTAATTGTAGATATTTCGGAATAATTTCCATTACGAAATTAACTAGACGTAAGTCTTTTGTTATGTTGTAATTTTTCATCCATTATAACCGAGTGAGCTACACTTGACACGTTCATAGTATGATGGAGTGATATTTTCGTAGTAGGAAACTTCCCATTATTCATGAAATCCAACAAAAATGACCAAAAAACGAAACGCCCTCTATCATGGATTGCGATAATGCGAATAATACATACCCGCTTCATTTTGGTTGGTTGCCAGGTGTAGGGTCAAAATTGCGAGACAATCACTACCAAAAAAAGCGTTTTAAGCTTTTGAACATGAAAAAATCAGCAACAACTTTTTATACGACTTAATACGTTTTAATCAATGAGTGGATTTTCATTGCAATAAATGTAACAAAACGTTCAGGTACAAATACACCTTGAAACGACACTCGGAGGTTATCGATAGTGACGTACGTTTTCCCTGTAATCAGTGTATGATGAACGCTGTAGATCAACACCCAAGCCAGGAACTATCAAGTTCTGTAAAATGATTTTTTTAAACCTTTCAGAGGGTTAGAGAAGACAGATAATTCAGATCAATTGAAATATTTATTTAAGCCGAAGACTTCAATAGATTAGTTCTATAAAATTTATTAGCCATTTGTAATGTACTGGCTGAAAATTCATCCATTATCGAATACAATGACGTAAAAACTAAAGACAGATTGAATGATATATTTGACTGAATTAAAAAGGAATGTAACATACCACTACTAAACAGATACACTTACTTGTCTACAATCAAATGCAGTCCAGAACAGTATTTCATAATCTCCTGATACAGAACGTAAAAATCGCCCATCTACAGACCAATCAATATGCAGGATAAAACTACTATGACCGCAGCATCGTCCAACACGATTATATTTGTAGCCACGTTCTAACACATTATATACATAAATAACATTATCTCGTGAACCAAGAGCTAAGTAATTTCCATCTAAAGAGAACGAAAGAAATAGAGATGAAAAAAACTTATCAAAGAAGCAGAACATACAATGGAAATTAAAGAAAACGAAATTCTGTGAGTAAAATGAACTATTACAAATGGATAGAAAAAATTAAGCATCGAAAATGAAACAAAGATTATTCTATTGAGATCACGATTCAATTTAAATCAGTTAACCTTTGAAAATCACAAAGCACTGAACAATTGTTTTGACCCAGTGTGGGACTGATCATCAGTGAGGACTCAAGACCTCACAACAGAAAGTCAAAATGAGAACCATAGGTTCTAAGTGGCAGTGGTTAACTTCTGGATCACTCAGCCAGCATCCAATAGCTTACATATCTAACGTCAGTCAACATGAAATTTTCTGCAATCATCTTTGGTCGGTAACTGCCTAATATCTAATATGGTTGAACTTTACTGATCACGAATCTACACTAAAGCTGCGGAAACTTACTGCAAAGTTACTCAACAGTGAGCATACGATACTTTTCAGTAAAGGGCTTTTCAAAATTTGATGAATCTTCTTAAGATTAAGAGGATGTGTTATGTCCCAATAAGCATAATGAATGGTAACTTTGGGATTCATTTATGGACCAATACTATAGGTATATTTTTATCGTATAATTGTTAATTAACTAAACCATTCATGTTTCTCTTATTATGAGCTTTATTTTGACCTATGAACTATTATTTTACGATTTACATTCTTGAATTATGCCCAGTCTATCAATTACTATCTCCACATTCACAGCCACTCTTGGCTAGATCGTGTACAAATGTTGTTTTCTATTTTATGGCACGATGTGGTCTGTCTGTTTGGTATATAAACCCAGTATGCATGAAATAAAGTATTCATATCGCAGAGGCTGTGATTAGTGTTCTGGACTTAACTGGCTGGACTAGGAAGGACGAAGGACCGATAAGGACTCTAGACTGCTCGTGCAGGTTTTATACGTCATTGGCCCGATCGATAAGTCACTGTTCTCTAATTGGCGGTATCATTACTTATCCATTAACAGGGCACTCAGACCACAAGTTATAACAGTATGTTTGCTCAATGTTGCTTACTGACCGTAGTTAGACTTGTAAACTATTGAATTACGATATGTTTTAGAGGTTGATTAATCCTTAGCGAAATCGAAGGTCCTGAGTACGACGCCCCTTTGAAGGATGTACACATATGAAGAGTCCCGTACTACAACGAAATATCTCCCCAATACATCTTGGTTCACAATGGTTATTTTACTCAAGTTGATTCATGATCTCGATAGCATTCAGTAATCCACATAAACCACACCTTACTGAAAAATTCATTTTTTATGTTCTCTCAACCTAATCACAAAAGAATGAACTTTAAAAAAGAAGTCAACAAGCTAAATGTATGAATAGATCATCCATCAGTAATATACCAATGAAATCATAGTGAAAATAATGTTTACCATCCTTCTTCTTACAATGATGCTATTTTCTAATGGATAAAAACAAATTAAGTGGGGGGTTTTTATTTAGAAAAACAAAACATCTAACAAATAAGTATGTATACTTTAGATACCTTTGCTAACTGGCAGTTTTTTTCTTATTTTACAGTCTTAAAACCAATGAATCTATATATAAAATTAGTGTATGAATATACTACTATTGCTATTACTATCAAATTATAGGTTTGTATAGACAAAAGTACATGGTTATTAGTATTTACTTTTTAGTTTGTTTTTTCTTTATACAATTCATTCACTAAATTTAAAAGTGACTAGTCACTGATTAGCAACTAATATTACATTTCCCTAGTTCTTTAATGCTGATCGAGTCCTATCAATCAAGTTGAATAACATAGGATGAAATTCTGCAAGGAGCAAAATTACCTATACGACTTTCACATGAGTGACAACTATATAGAATCTAAACCAAGGAGGCTTTTCTGTCAGCTACCACAAAATGTTGAAAACGTTGCAATACAGTGCACACAATGTATGCAAGTCAATTAGGTAAATGTTTGCATTACAACTCAATTGATAGAATTCAATTAGCTTTAAGACTAGATAAGTATAGTGTAGTTCAGAGTAAAACCACTGATGTTAGGTCTTTTATTGAAAGACTTTGTATAAACAATTACACCAGAAAATACTGAAACTGATGACAATTTTCAGCAGTTAAAATATGATACAAAATTAACTTGTTCATGAGTGAGCATACCTAGAATCCATTTAGTTAGAACGCAATATCTTATGTATTCAAAGTAATGATCTAAAACATCAGATCGAGTAAATACCAATTTCACATAAGATATCAACTTTAAACGTAGAGATGTATGCATAACTAAATCTAATGACACCACTCGTAGTATATTTTAATCAAATTTTGCTAGAATGTACACTTTAGACAGAAATAACACAAACGACTGATAGAATAAACTTGTGCACTCGTTTATCGGCTCTAATCATCTAGTTTGAACTCACCTCACAAAGGCTCAATTCAATAGTCAATGAGTTTATGAACTAGTAGGTGCTATTTTGTGATTTGATTCGGTTTGAACTACAGTAATTTCTGTCAAAAATGACGTAAGCTTATTATAATACAGATATGTCCTGTGATGGACTCGATACAAAGACAATAAAAATACAGCACTACAACCATAATCTCCAGCAATAGATACCAGATAAAGACATCAGTATGCATTCTAAATTTGATACTCCAGTCTCCTCTACAAATCACATCGCTGATGCCCACTTTTCAAGTATAACTCAACTTTTGTTTATACAAATCAATCCATTTCACAATATACTATCATAATCAATAGAAGAGACAACTTTATTCTCTTAATATTGTCAATTATTGTATGCAGTTAATTTAGAGAACAATCAGGGCTTACTATATTCATTTCCCGAGTAATGTAATCGAAGTTAACATGTATTAATTCATTCTTATCAAGGTTTGTCAGTGATAGATGCCGATCATTTATTTCTGATTTATAGTATTATCACGCAATAATGGATAGTTTCTATCTTATCACAAGAGGTAAGTAAAAACTATCAATATATAGTAAGAGGGAAAAACGTCGAAAATCCAGACTAAGGAAAAAGAATGAAATTGACCAATGCTAGAGATAAAGACCGGGAAGTGACAAGTATGTAACGGATAAAATTAATGGAAAATAAATCGAATTCAAATGTATACAACATTTGAATATTTTCAAATTATTCAGGATAATTCCATGTTTATTCTTAGAACCGAGAACTGAAAGATATCTGGATAACTATTCATGAATATGATTATTGAAACAATCTCTGACTTCCTAAATCTAACTTCTTATACCAACCCTAATATTTTTGGGGGATTTTGATGAAATAAATTATTCATCTGAATTACTACTCGCAACCTGATTATTTTATAAGATTAACTTCATCGTATCAAAGTTATTATAAACATCGGTAAAGGTCTTAGTATCTAGCAAGACTGAAAATTGACGGGGATGAAGCAGTTACCCACAGAAGACAATGGAAGATGGTCACGCAATATCATTGGTTGATTAACGTTAGACATTAACACCTTTGTATGCCGGCTCAGTGGTCTAGAGGTTAAGCGTTCTCGAACAAGACCAAAAGTCCTGGATTCGAGTTCCGCACGCAGGCTGTTGGATACGCACTGCCGAGGAGTCCCATACTAGGACAAAACGGCCTTCCATTGCTTCCAGGCTACCAATGGTGGTCTAATTTAAATCGATTCATGATCTCAACGAAAGAAAATATGATGTTGAAGAAGACAGTCTGTCAAGTTTCTCGCCGACATAGAAGATAGTGCATGTGATGTCAAGTCATTTAGACGGGCAACCACGCAGCAAACTGATTGGTGGAATTCGATCACCATTGATTAAAGAACTAGATAAACGTGACATCTGTCACTACTATGTAATGTTGACAGAAATAGAGTTAACAATTGAATAGGAAGTTTAACAAAGAAGTATGCATAGATAAATACATACGAGTACAAAAGAAAGAAAACAGTAATAACAACGTACCAGGTGAATATGCAACACATTCGATCTGTTCACCAAGTCCATCGGAATGTGCAGCAATTATTTCTTGTTTTAAACAATTGAATACTAACCAACGTCCTGTACTTGTGCCTAATACTACTAATAAATCATGTGAATTCATCATTGATACATTGAAATCTAAATTATTTGTTTCATCAATTATATTATTATCATTAATATTATTATTATCATTATTATTAACTGGACTCATAGTCCCATTTGTTATTGAAACTGATTGAAGTGGATAGAATGCAGCACAATGTATAGCATCAGTGAATTCTTTTGACCAAATAGCTTGCTTTGATAATGAATCCCACAGAACTACTAAATGATCACGTCCACCAGTTAAAAATTGATGAGCTTGTGGATGTTTAGCAAGACTCCAAAATTCTTCAGAATGACCAAACATTAAAGGACTTATTTCCATACCAGGACCAGCCTTTATTTAAAAGAAAATAGGAAATTTACATCACTAGAGACAACTATTTGAATTAGATAATTTTGTATGCTGATCCAGTAAAGATTCAACTACGGTTGACCAGACTCCATTATTCTAATGAGAAGACTGAATCGAATAGGAATTTTAGAGCTGACAAAATCGAATTATCGTGCACATATCTCAACCTAGGTTTAGTGATCAATTTACTTACTCCAGTGATATGCTTCGTTTGTACACCTCACCAACTGGTGGACTTGAGATATAATGATCTATTCAGTCTTCACAATATGTGACAGGTACTGTTATGCGGCGTGTCATCAACCTTTACCTTTTAGAAAATTCAGCAAATTGAAGTTTATGGATGAACTAAGAATGTTTCAGGAAGAAATTCATTACTGTATTATAGTCGATGTCATTTCCTGATGAAAACCCTAATGAATCATACATAAACGTTTGATAATGTATGGAAACTGAATTCTTTTCTCATCATAAACCATTTCACAACAAAATACTGTTTTCTCATCAGCTAAAATGTACTCCAAAGTCGTCCATACACTCTGATCCCCCTAAGCATTATTCCAACGATCAGTTACAGTGAGATTACATTCAAAAATGATAGAAAAGTGCTTGTCATGCAGTACCAAAAACGGTAAAACAGACAATATTCAATGCAACAATAATACTACAGTATATAATACCTGTAGTATCATATTCTTTGTTGTGCCAATAATTAACAATTCTCCAGGACCTTGTGTAATAGTTCTTACAGCACCATATAATTCAGTTAATTCTTCAGTATGACCAGTTGGATTAAGAGCTGCATCAAAGAATACTAAACGACGATCTTTCCCACCACCAGATATAAGATGTCCATTATTTGTTAAACATAATGAAAATATACCGCCTTCATGTACACCTTGACATATTTGATTCACTGTATTTGTACCTAAGTCATAATAATGATTATAATGATGATAATTCGAAAATATTCAACAAAGATAAGAAAGGCAAAAGTATAATTTACTGACGAATCACTCATATGTAAGATAACAACTATTGAAATTTTCTACTAAATTCAATATATGATGACGGAAAACTTGCAACTTATTAACAGCTAAGTAAGCGGAAGTTACTAAGTCGCTTAAAACTTCATAAACGTGACAAAAGCTACACAATTAGGGACGAATTGGAGCAGTGATGGAAACCATCTCTTTTGATATTCAATAAAAGTGCGAAGTCCAATATTTTCCAGTATCTTCTCTGTTCACTTTGTGGGTCAGTGATAAGTATAAGGACGTAATTTTCACTGGGGAATTGGTTTTAATAGTACAAACTGATTCACATACAACTTCTGTGAACACTCCACCGTACCGCATTCCAGCTTGTCGGACGGGAAAACGTAATTGAGAGGACGTCACGAAATGAGACGAAATAACAAGTAAACATTCTACTCTTACATGCAGTATTCGCACACTTAAATGAAACGGAAAATTTTAGATCATTTCATTCGAAACTTCATTTCAGTAATCAACATGTGTCTTCTGTGAATGCATTGTTTTAGTGTTTATCAAATTGCCAGATGGAAAAAAAGCCAGTAAAATCTAGGATACAGCTTGCAATGAAATCCTCAGTCAAAATTATACTTTTTCTTATATGCCACATCCAATCACTAAATGAACGGGAAAAAAAGCTAGATATTGCAGATTTAAGATAACACGCTTTGGATTTTGGCGTGAAATTCATTCATTTGTCTAAATAGCGTATTGGTATTTTAGCTGAAGTTGGTTCGTGATGAAAACCCTAAATCCAATTCCTAAGCCTAACCATCAATTGTAAGTCATAAGTTTAATTCCTCACACTGCTTTATAACCCTCAATTAGTCCTAGTTAGTAGGTGGATATTCTCAAAATCATTTTAGTGTCACTCAAAGGTCGTCCATAAATTATGGTTTCGTCGAAAACAAATACAATTAAAATGTATATAACATTTTAACATGACTTCGAAAGTGATTTAAAGATGCTTGATATTTGAAATTAAGACAGCAAACACACAGCATATCCATATGTCAATATTAAATAAGAAGTATTCTTGCATTCTATTACTACTAAACATCAATTTGAATTTTTGATCCTGATCCAAACACAAAATTACAAACTTTAATCATAAATACATATCACTTGTATTCTGATTGGCTAAAATGTAGCTTCATTTTCTTAAGATCATTTATGACTTGATGAAGAAAGATAGTACAACTATACTTTTTCTACTGAAAGTGCCATAATCTGTACGAAAATTAAGATATTTTTGCGAAACTCACACCTTCACAAAATATTCCTCATGTGATCAGTTTGAACGATGTAAATATAATAGGGAAGGCTACTGTCAGTGACCAATGGTTAATATGTTTAGTTAGCATGTGAGAATCATTTACTAATCGATATTAAAATGGTATTTGGTTTCTAACAAATAGATATTTATTATGTTGGGGGAAAAAACAGACTGCTTGTTTGATTTTGAATGGGTCCTGTGTAACTAGGCTGTAATGTAATGATAGGAAGGCAGTTGATTGATATATATCTCTTTCTAGTTCGATAATCGATTAGCTCATTTATATTTGCATGGGGATCAATGTCATTCTATTTACCAACTGATTGGTCAAACAACAGAAGGGGAAAAAAATCATTTGATAGGCAATAAAGCAGCACGCAAATAAATTAAAAGTATAGTAACTCGTACCACATCGTCCAAAACCATAAAATATTACCATGTTTTAACAGAGCTGCTTTGAAAGCGAAGCATTCTAGGTACATTTTAGAAATACAAAAAAAACCACGTTAAACGGCCATACCAAAGAATTTAACAACGAAGAACGAACTTTATTTTAATTACCTCGTTTCCATGCAATAATATTCCCAGCAGAATCACCAGTCAGTAGATCACCATTTTCAGCAAATGTTAAACAAAGTATAAATTTCGGTTTATCGATTGGCTGTTTACCATTCTAAAATAATATGAACAGGTAAGAACATTGATTTCTACATAAAAATTGAGATTGACTGAGTAACTACTGAAGAACAATGAGAACTGAAGGTTGTCACTACATTCTTTTTAAAAAAAAGTGCAGCCACGACTGTACACAGTGAATCCACGATGTACAATTAGTGACGAGGACTATAGGAGAGACTATAATCTATGGACGGACCTATGTGACCTAACAAAGTGACACTTGAATTTTCGTATAAGATTCATTTATTCATATGGTAGGGGCGTAGATGTACACTGTTGAGAAGTATCATAATAGGAAAGAATAGTTGTTCAGTACTTCTCGACGAGCGATGGATGTCTAATCTAAATCACTTCATGATCTTAATCTAAAAACAAAAGGTATGTCAACAAAACAATACTGTTGTAGATAACAACACAAATAGTGAGTTTTACAAACTTTAATTCATGAATTATCTTAAGTGTATTGGTATAATGGAGGGAGTGCTTCAGTACAATAAATAATAACCAATATCTGTGTCGACAAGTGAAAAATGAGAACTATGAACACAAAATATGTAAACTACTACAAACAAAAAAGTTTATATTAAATACGGAAGTGAAAATAATAATTATTATTATTAGTGTCAAGAAATACAGTAACAGGGATAAATACACTAAATATCATAGATCCACGTTCATGTTTAAAACTACGATACAACAATGAAGCCATACATACAAAAATAATTGACGACTTTTTGACTACTGAATATTGGTAAGTAGTATAGTGCAATATACATAAAGAAATAGAATTAGGAGAAAAATAATGGTGAAAACAGCCAAGCGAATTGAAAAAAACAAGATTGATTATATTTCAAGATCAATTAGACAATCACTGAGAAAAACTACTTTTCTTTTATTAGTTTATTTAATTTGCGACACATTGTTTACCTACATAAACACATATACACATGAAATAGCATAGACGAAATTCATTCATGTAGATTTAAACTGCTACCGTCTAGGTTTTTAAATATTACACAACACGGAAGTAAATAAACAAACAAAAAAGATTGACTTCTGGACACAAGATGTAAACAAATAACTTGTATATATATAAATATTCAACAAATATACGTACCCATGAAAAAAAATACTATAAGTAAGGTGAACACCAACAATCAGAAACCCTTAACATTGAATAATCTATGATCATATAAATAATTTATACATACGTATATGTATATATATAGACTAGTAAAAACACATACTCATTCTAAGATCTTCAAAGTTAATCAGTGGGGCAGAAAATATTGGGATACAATATGTAGTGGAAGTTAGTGTATAACAAATGAGAAGTTGAATGGGTAGAATAAGAAAACGATGATTAACGTTGAATGAAATTTAAGGTACTGAGTCTGGAAGGGAATGCAATAGTGAATACCATAGTCTTCCACTATAGAAAGCCAGTTGAGGTGGGAATAAATTAGTGGTAATTTGTAGTACTAAGATGGTGCATGATGTGTGTTCGAACTCCAGTCCCATACAAATTATAGGTACGCTTTGTTGATGAGTTAAGATTGATGAATTTGTAAATTATTGTGCATACATGTAGATGAGGTCTAACATTATTTTAATGATGAATGTTAAGAAAGAATCAAAGTAAATATATTAACATTAAAAATCGAATATCGTTTAGACTGTTCAATGTAAAGCCTTTTTAGTTTTATTATCATGGAGATCAGTGATGAAGTACAATTTGATGTACTTGGAAGATAAGATGAAGCCTAGTTTTGCACCGCTGAGTAGTTTGGTACAAAAAAGAAAAGACTGTCTTAAGCTCCTTATTTTTTATTGGTAATCCTGTCGAATACCTCCAACCACCGAATAATACTTCTGATTGTTAATCCTAAACTTCATGTATCAATTAGAGGTGATGATTATCTTGTTATCCAAATGATTCGAAAGTATATAGTGGTTTGTATATTTAATTCTGAACTATATATTGTCTAGTGATCTTGGTCGAATTCGGGGAAACGGAACTCAATATTTTAAAGTCAACCGCACTAATTACCACAAAGGCCTGTCAATAAATACGCTAAATTAGCAACTAGAATTATTTGGTTATGGCTGTTGTACAATGGCAGTTGGCCTACATATTAATCAATGATAACCATTGAATTTCTTGGTGCTAGTTTGATCACTAGACTAAGTCACAATTTCTAATCACTAAATGCAGCTCTATGAGTGATATTTTTTTGTTATCCAAATATGCACTTGTCATAGAGAAACAAAAATGAGATGATGTGTGACGAAACAAAATGTGATATGGAGAGGCGACTGAAAATCTTGACATTAGAAGACTTTCACGGATGATTTTTAGACAATGAAAACATAAATGGAAGTTTTGATGCAATAAATCTATTGTATTCTTGAGGGGATGCTTTAATGTACTTTGAATTCAGTAAAATATAGATCTCAGACCGTGTATTTATTGAACAGACTATTTAAATTATCACTTCACCCAAATTTCCATATCCATACCAGTTATTATTATTATTATTATTATTATTATTATTATTATTGTTATTATTATTATTATTACATTGATTGCGTGATAACTTACAACGAATCCATTACACTATTTGTAACTGACCTTTCTAATTTACAAACGGTACAGTTTGAAGTTTTTATACACAGTGGTAAATGCAACAGTTCACTATTTTTTACACACACAACAACATTATTCTCTTCACTAACGTGGTTTATTTTGACCATTGTAAAATAACACAACAATTATGGCCTTAAAGCTGTAAAGCCTGATGATAGAATTTACTTAAAACAATTGTTCTCTCACATATTTTTGTGTTCTGAATATTTTATGAGAATAGGATCAAGGACAAGTTGGTTTGGATGGGTTTTTTTCTCTGAACTGGTTGGTTTTGTCGTGAAGGTTTCATTGTTCTTCTGAACGACATCATCAGCACAAACTTCAAGTGAAGTGTTCTCCACATACGACGCACAACTTGTCCTGTCGACCTCGATCTTGATCGGTTAGTGTTGACCTTTAACTTGTTACTGTTTACTTCTTTATTTTGATTGAATGTCCGATTGATTAGATTATTGGTCCCATATTCATCCATGATTATTCACAAGAACAATGAGAACTCAGTGACCAAACCAACTAGTTCAGAGAACAAAACTCCACCATAATTATCCGCCTGACCTACAAGTTTTCTCCAACATCTCAACAGCAAGTTGACATTATACTGAAATCTTTCAAGATCGTCAATTGATAATAAAAGTCTAATCACTACAAATCCGCTTAAGTCACAGCCGTCAAATATCTAAAGCCAGATTTATATATCCAAAAAGGAAATAGTGGGAAGCTTTCCTTAATATTTTGACGTCATCATCAGTTGATCACACAATATTCTTGCAACGCTTTCTCACCTTTTAATTACATCATCTCTTCCTGAAAAAATTCAACAATTTATTTTCAACCGACTGATCTGAACTCATATTATTCTTAATAACTATTAATTTATGTTCGCTTACAACATTAAATTGGCTGTATGATCTCGTGTTCTGTTTCTGATGATCTAGAATCTTGTATTACATATTATATTAATTGACTACATTGTTTATATTACTTCTTTGCATCAATTCGAACTGAACATTTTATCATACTGCGATATAAATCCACATCCAACTAATTACACAGTTTTAAGGAATGTGAAGTTTAACTTTCAAAATATATATTATAAGTTGATAAGTATCAGTTGAAGAGAATCTAACCCAATAAAGTGGAATAATATCATACTACCTCAATCATATCTTTAAGGTAGCCTGTTTGAATATGTGAGCGACTTGTTCTTACCGTCTAGATATTTCAACAAGTTATTTGTCTTTTTGTTTGTTTCAACAAATCATCATTATGTCTATTAATCACAGAACTTATTTAGGAGCATCTATGAAATGTTTACGACCTTTCACCGTACAAGTAACAAAAAAAGTACAATCAGAGACATCATGGTGGCTGGCAAAATATGGATTGAATAGAATGAAGATTATTCAGATGTTAATTTGTGGGACTGCTAACATCTAACTGGCGATCACTCAATATTTATCGTCAAAATCGATCAAAAAATAAGAAGAGGAAAATTGCTGAAACACTTCAAGCTAAGAACTCCATATTGTACCAAAAATATGATATTGAATAAAGCCATCATCAATAATAATAATAATAATAATAATAATAATAATAATAATAATAATAATAATAATAATAATAATAATAATAATAATAATAATCCTTTAACTTTGCTCTTTTTAAAAGAATCAAAAAAGAACTTTATTGAAATAACTATTGATTAAAATAAACAAGCATCATTTTCTTATTGTTGCTTTTTAACTTACTTCAAATATTCCCATCTTTTTACTTAGTGTACATCCATCAAATGTCCAAAATGCTAAATGACCTTTACCACCAGTTACAAGGGTTGCATCATCTAATGGATGAAATTCAACAGCTGTTATTGGTTCTGTGGAACACTGAAAAGTAAAAAAAAAAAAGAAAAGAGAAAACAAAATTTCGTTAAAACAATAAGTTTTATTAAAAATTCAAAATGATGCATTTTATTTCAATTAAAAGCAATACATACTTGATAATAAATACGTTTTGTTATATCTCAATAAGCGCTGGAAGTGGATAGGACAAACACATTGAGGAAAGCATCCAACTGTGTCACAAGACAAGCCCTCACGTGGAATCCTCAAGGCCAAAACAAGAGAGGAAGACCAAATAACACATTACACCGGCAAAAGGAGATAGACATGAGAAAAATAAACAAGAATTGGATGAAACTAGAAAAGAAGTCAGTCAGTCAGTAACAACGTAGAACTTCGTACGTACGTACATCAGTTCTAGTTGCCACACCACATTAGCACAAAGATGCAGTGGTCGATTCAAATCCCGTAATGGTAGAGGTAACAAGAGTATGAGAAGTAATCGGGAAGATTAGGGTTTGAAGATGTTATTCAAGGAGTATAATCCAGTGAAATAAGTTTGGAGAGAAAAAAAAAGAAAGGGACATGAAGAATTCAGAAGATTAGAATTTGGGAGAACACAAAGAGTGGATGCACCTGCACTATTGCAAATGATTTTGAGCTATGTCCCTCAGGGTCTCTAACCATCGATTGCTATCATCTAGCAGTCTTCAACCAGGTAGTCTACACCTAACAACATGACTCAGTCCACTTGTCAGTGACTTCATGGACTTGTGCCATGTTTTGGTCTGGCCGTCCCTAGCTTTCTTCCAACCTACTCCTATACCACTGAACATCGCACGTCGAGGCAGTCGGTTGTTGGGCATACGTAACACGTGTCCGAGCCATCTCAGCTGATGAAGTCTCACTACGTCATCAACTGATTTGCCATCCTTACCTAGTACCCGTTTCCTGACAACTGCGTTACTTACTCGATGGTCCCATGATATACGAGCAATGTTTCGAAGACACCTATGATCGAATACTAGTAACCTACGAACATCCTCTACTCTTACCGGCCATGTTTCACTGCCATAAAGTAGGACGGGACGAACTGCTGCGTAGTAAACACGTCCTTTGGTTGATAGACGGATATCTCGCCTACGCCATACATGACGCAAAGAAGGCACAGGACAGAGTGGGTTGGAGAATGCTGGTCGGCGGCCCATGCTTCATTAAGAGTAACAAGCGTAAGTAAGTAAGTAATATCTCAACAAGTAGAAAAATTTTATTTCTGACGACGTTTCGTGACTTAATGTAAGCCACTTCTTCAGAGCAAATAAATAACCGGAATAAAATCAACACAAATTTAAATAATACTAAAAGACAATGCAAAATATTTTTAGTACAATCAAAATCATAATACGTTTAAATATGTCAATATCAAATTATTTTTTGTTAAGGTGAATTCTTATGACCTGCCACTGTGTTGGGGAAGTTAGATCCCCAGAACTCAGTTGAGAAAGGACCTAATTTTGTAATTTTATTTAAAACATTTGAATTTCTTTATTTTCGCACCAAAAGCGCTTTTGTCACCTTCATGTCGTATTTCCCACTGGGAAATACCTTGAATGCTATTGGTCCGTTGCATCTTTTAGTATGCTATTTGGTAACTCTCTCCAAGGACGGTTTTGTACTGTATATATACGTTTTTAATTGTGTTTGTTGTTATCGCTCGTTTCTGGCAGTTTGCAGGGGCTGGGACGCATCAATAGCTAGCTTACTGGTCTTTGGCCACCGAGTCTTGTTTCTCATTCGCAGATTAAGTGAACTCGTGATATCTTCAACCCTAACGCACTGTATTATATTGTGTCCTTTACATATAGACTAATTTCATATGTAAAACTTCTTTTCGAATTTTTTTCTGTTATTTATGATCCAATTGTAGGAGATTTCTAGGAAACTAAAAAGTCAGTCAGTCATCTACTAGAAAGTGGTAAAAGTCAATGTTAAGAGTTCACTTGTAAAAAAAGACATGAGATTTACATAATTGATTTCGGAAAGAAAAAATTATTTTCGCAGTCTTTACTAATGATATTTAATATCTAACTATGAAAAACCGAAAAAGTCAGAAATGATCATTAACAACAAGAATAATAGTAAAAGTATAGTATAGGTGCAGTGAACAGAACACGGGTGGGGACAATCGAATGTATTTAACACAAAATTACAGGACTTGTTAAATAAATCTTACAATCATAAAGTAAATGCTTAATTTGCAAAATGTCCACCAATTGCCTCAAAATGACTCAGACTTCATTGTTCTCGCATTTTCATGCAAATTGCATTTTGTTGCCATTCTTACTGTTCGATCCTCTTGTCTCTCTACTCCCAGACCTTCTGTTCACGACTAATATCATATACTACTTATGTCAATATAAGTAGCACACACCACATGGGTACAGGCCATTCACAATCAAAAGTGCAACATTTAAGAGAGGAACTAAAAGGATGAGAATAAACTCCACTCTCGTTCGAAACTTTAACCATGTACTGAGCAATCAACCAAAATGAGACGGGAATTATTATTTATACTAACGTCATTCATGATGGAGAGTGCATTAGATTCTCTATTATTTTGGTGGCTTACATGAAAAATGCAAAGTTTTCTATGACGAAAATACTAATCCATTATGCTACGGACGTGTCAAGTGTAGCTCACTTGATGGACGAAAAATTACAACATAACAAAAGTCATACTTTCAAGAGAAATTATTCCGAATTATCTAAAATTGAGTAACTAAATAAACGAAAGCATAACCATAGTTCCTGGATGCACTGCTTAAGACGTTTAAAATGAGAAGAATAAATTATTTTTTTGCCACCATACAGTAAAAATATTACTATCAAACGTATCAATTGTTCTATTCATTCACTGTAAATTGTATATAACAAGCGAATCCCAAATACTTAACCCCAAACATCCTCAATTCCTGAAATGAACCTCAACCCATTGGCATTAATTTTAAAGAAAAACTAGTTAGATTCTACCTCTAACATTTTCGGGTAAAATTCATTCATCTATTTGCTAAAAAGCATTTTTCTCACTAAAGTTGATGTCAGTTTGTGAAGAAAATCTTAATCCTAACCACCACCCCCTAAATACTTAACTCTAACCAAGACCAATATGTGCTGAATCGCTTCAACATAAAGACTTAAAGAAACGGATAATCTATACTTTTATAGGCCAATTCATAAGTCGTAGATTGTTCAATTCATAGGTAGATAAATCAGCCCCCCAAATGCCCTGGTATGGCTGGGAGTGGGACGGGTCCGCCCTTCCTTTCGAAACGCTCTCACACGGTCACGCGTATACAGCCTCTGCCATGAAAGTCCTACTCATTGCCTTCTCGTGGTATTACTGTTGTTTACGAAATTGAGAGGACGAAAAGCGAATGTCCAGCGCCTTAACCGGATCCCAAACCAACGGTGCACATGGGCTCCAGTATCCTGCGGGGACAAATGGCGTATGAACGAATCGTTGGTCACCGGCTACCATGGGACCCCATCTCCTTACGATGCTCCACTGCCTTATGGGTCAGACCTTTAGATCCAAGGCTCAGGGTGTGGTCCCCTAAGAAAACCACCTGCTTCGGTCCGGGTACCCGGTCAGTATCACAGCCCTCACACAAACCGAATGATTTATGTGGCGCGTATCTATTTGGTGCCTCCTTGTACCAATGTTTATGTGTTTAAATAAATAAATAAAATACATCCATTCATTACATTAGATCGATTTACACTTTGTAATGTCAATAGTTTCACTTTTCATTTACTAAAAGTTACTTTTTAATTGGCTAAAAAGAAGAAATGAAAATTTGTCTCGGTTATTTTAAACTTTTATTCATTACTAGAATATTTCATATTCATTCATTAAAATGTACATTAGTTAGAAAAGAAGAGCACAAGAATAACCTAGAAGAATTCAGATGAAAAATGTGGTTGATTTTTAACTAAGTTACTGTTACTTTATCATACACTTGGCCTTTGTAAGTAAACAAAGCTAAATCTTGTGACATTGAAGAAGAAATACACTTTGATAAATAATAAGTTTGAATTATAATGATATTTTCAATCATTATTATGATATATGTAGGTCACTACTTATGCATATTAATGAGACGATACATGTAGATGAAGTCTAACATTATTTTTATGATGAATATTTAGAAAGAATCAAAGTAAGTATGGAATATCGTTTAGATTGTTCAATGTAATTATCACAGTATAGGGTTGTGGAGATTATTAAGTTTTTGACTGGGATCATGAACTGATTAATGTTAGACCACCATTGAAAACGTGGAAGTATTGAACGGCCGTTTTATCCTGTTGTGAGATTCTTCAGCAGTGTGCATCTACGATCCCGCTAGCAGGATTAGAACATATGGCCATCGATATCGTGTGTGAACGATCAATGCAAAGTTTCTTTTAGTTTTAATATCATGGAGGTCAGTGACGAAGTACAATATGATGTACTTGAAAGATAAGATGAAGCCTACTTTTGTTATTCAATATGTGCATTGCTCAACTCTAATACAGTAGTTCTATCATTTAATTATTCGCCATAGGACTAAAATATTTAATGTTCGACTATGGTTTAGGTCGTTGGTGCGCACCGCTAAGGAGTTTTGTACAAAAGTGAAACGACTGTCTGAAACTTCTTGATTTTTACTAGTAGTCCAACTGAGACCAATCTATGACGAATTTAATTGTCATGTGTTCACGTTGTATGGAACTAAGTGATAAAATTAATTTAAATCAACTTCTTTGTTTAGGATAATTAATAAATATATTGAAACAGACAATCGAAATGATGTTTAAATGAAATCATCAACCGGTTAATGTTAGACCAACATCGAAAACCTGGAAGTACTGGAAGGCTGTTTTGTTCAAGTATGGGACTCCTCAGCACCACACATCCATTATCCTGCAAACAAGACTCGAACCCAGGAATTTTGGTATCGCGCACACGAACTCTTGAACTCTAAACCACTGAGCCGGGACCCAATGGTATTAATTTCTAACTTCAACCAATCTACAAAATTTCGTAACTATTTTCCACTGTTTTCGGTGAGTAACTGCCTCGCACTCAACAAGATTTAGCTCCACTGGTCACTGATTTAAGTTAAATATTAATACCATCGGATGCCGCTTCAGTGGTCTAGATATTAAGTGTTAGCGCTCGAGACCAGAGGTCCTAGATTCGATTTTCTGTGTGAGGGGTCGCGAATGCCTATTACTGAGGAGCTTCATGTTAGGACGAAACGGCAGTCCAATTTTTCCAAGTTTTCAATGGTGGTCTATCTTAAGCAAATTCACGACTTCAATGATATTACAGATATTACACTAACAACACTACTATGATAGTTATATATACATATATATCATTTATTTAGAAACTGATTGCTGCTAGTCACAAACAGACAATAATGAGGAACAGATATAAGTTACTACGAATTATGACGTTTTTCTTTAACCAACCATAAAGGTTCACTGTTGCACTTCAGATATGATCACCTCTATGTTATTTGAGATTAAGGTAATGAATAAACACTACAATGTATGATATCTCAATACAAGAGAAAAATATAAGCGGTGTACACTATTATTATTATTAAACGATTAAAGTTATACGAATTCCTAATTCAAAACAAGTAATAAACGAAATGATCATGAATTCGAGAAGATTAGGATACACATTCGCTATTCAGCTAGAATCTTTTAATGAAATCGAAAACCGATACGAAAAAGCTTCAATTAGAAACTTTCACTTTCTATCATCTGATTTGATATTACGTTCTAGTATTCTTCTATACACATTTTGATTCAGTTACAATAGTTAGTATTTCTGATAATCACAAATACTACTACTGATATTTCTATATGTACGTTATTCATCTTGTTACTGAAATGAAAATCTGCGTTGACGTGTGAAACGTCGCAGCATCACAAATCATAAATGAATGGGAACAAAAGGAAAATTTTTATAATTTACGAGATTTTGTGCTGATAAATTGGAATTAAAAACGAAAACAATACAGACTCCGTGTTATACTCACCCCGAGTATTACTTTATTTTGGGGTCGATAATTCATAAATCATATTAAACTAGAATGAACTGCTTTTTAATACAATCAGTATTTTTTACTGATTATCGATCTACACTAGTCAGTTATCTTAGAGACTGCTAGGGTTGAAGCTATCAAAAGTTCACCTTAACGGCGAACGAGAACAAGACTCGGTGACTACAGATCAGTAAGCTAGCTGTTTGATGCATCCCAGCCCGTCTAACTAGAGGGAGATGTCCAAGCTTGGAATGTGGAAGTATATTCTGCAAACAGCCAGAAACGAGCGATAACAACAAACACAATTCAAAACGTATATATACAGTACAAAACCGTCCTTGGAGAGAGTTACCAAATAGCATACTAAAAGATGCAACGGACCAATAGCATTCAAGATATTTCCCAGTGGGAAATACGACATGAAGGTGACAAGAGCGCTTTTGGTGAGAAAATAAAGAAATTCAAATGTTTTAAATAAAATTTCAAAATTAGGTCCTTTCCCATGTGAGTTCTGGGGATCTAACGTCCCCAACAGAGACTACCATGAAATTTAACAGCACTTTCAATGATTCATCACTTCAATACATAAAATTACTTGGTAATAATTCCCAACAGAATCTTACGAACTAACAACATTTCATACAGAAATTGTTCATACAAAAATGTTTATTTCACAATGAAAAAGCAAAGAATTGAAACGTATTATATTTTGCCTACTGTTGTATAAATATAACACGTACTGGTATTTTAGAAAATAAAAACTAATCAATACTAATCTCAATGGATAGTAAGAACAAAAATAATTTCTAATGGTATTGTAAAATGATTAGATGTTGCTAAACGTGTAGCCAGTAAGATGAAGTGATGAAGAGAGGGGGGTTGTGAGAAAAAGTGAGATACTATATTCATTGCATATATATATATATATATATATATATATATATAGAGAGAGAGAGAGAGAGAGAGAGAAACAGACAGATGGAGGGATCGATATGGAGCAATGACTTAATAGTACAGGGATTCAACTCGTAACCAATAGGTCCCGAGTACCAGTTAACTTACTTCGATCTGATTAACCGGGTAGTATCATTAACCCACAGATATAAAGTCGAGCTTAAAGCCGAGCACACGAATATGTACTTGATGAGTTACAAATTGATATTAACTGAAGGAAGTATCGAAAAACAGGTAAAACACTAGATAGTTGTTTTATCTTAACAAAGGACTTAACAATGCATACTTATGACAGCCCTAAAAGATCGACAGGAGAACAATCAAGTTACCCAACGAACATATTACCTTGAAATTATTGAATTAGAGGATTGCACTGGCATATATATTTGTAATCAATACATAGAAGAGTACAACATTGTCTTATCTTATAACTGGCGGATATGTGATTCACGCCCAATGTTTGTTATAACTATCAATATCTTTCAAATGAATAAACAACCCTTCATGTAAAATATTAATTTAGATTATAAGTTCAAAGTAAATTTTGCACTAGGCGAGTCTTAAAGTTTAATTATGACATTAATTTTTTTATCGAATTGGATTTTAACTACAATGTATTCATATTCACATCCATATTCATATTATTATTATTATAAAACAGTTATAGTTATTACTATTTAAACATGTAAACATCAGTACACGAGGCACCAAATATATATGCACCACACTTCATCACTCGATTTGTGTGTAAGGGTAGGAGTACTGCCCGGGTGCCCAGACCGAAGCAGGTGGTTTCCTTAAGTGACCACTCTCCAGACCTTTCATCTAGAAGTCTGATACATAAGGCAATGGAGCAACATTAGGAGATCCAGTCCTATCGCATCCGGTGGCTAACAATAAGTTCATACATCATTTGTTCCCTCATAATTCTGAAACTCATGTGCACCATTGCTTTGAAATTAGAGTTTTCCTATTTCACTAGGTGGATCCTCCGTACCAACCAGCACCATTAAGGCGCCGGACATTACCTTTATGTCTTCTCAATTTCGTTAAACAACACCCTCACCGCGAAAAGGCAGTGAGTAGGACTGCACTGGTAGTTATATACATAAACAACCAAATTCCTATGAACATATGTAAACGACGATGATTGTAAACATGCAATTGTGTACACTTGTAGGTCAGTCAATTACAACGTAAAACTTCGTACGCACGTACATCAGTTCGAGTTGCCACACCACATTAGCACAGAGATGCAGTTGTCCATTCAAATCCCGTAGTGGTAGAGGTAGTAAAAGTATAAACAGTAATCGGAAAGATTAGGGTTTGAAGATGTTATTCAAGGATTATAATCCAGTGAAATAAATTTAGAAAAACACATAAAGGAGAGGAGGATTCAGGAGATTAGAATTTGGGAGGTCATAAAAAAGTAAAATAAACCGGAATTCATGATATACAGTTAAAAATCAAGTACGTATATATATGTAATTTAAAGATTTGTAATAACTTGCAACAAGAAATCATACATACTGCATGCTGTTAGTAAGTATAACTAAAAACTTAGTTTTAGTGAGTAAGAAATGTTGTGTCAATATACTAAGTTTAAAAGTAAGATTTCCAAATAATCTTCTAAGTTTTAAGACCTCAAGTAGACTGGTGGGTGATGAATCTTATTCACAAATACAAAATAAATTAACTTTATTTTCTTAAACGAGATTTAACTGCTCATCAGAATGGAAGTGTGGAGTAAGTAGCAGGTCTTTATCTATATGAGTCAAATACATTCTTGATTTCCCTCAAAAAGCGAGAAATTTAACACTCAGACATTTAGTAGGGATAAGGTGTTATAACTTGTGGTTTTGTGCCCTATTAATATATAACGTATTCATACTGCCAATTATAGAACAGTGATTTATCGACCGCACAAATGACGCATAAAACCGTACGAGCAGTCAAGAGTCTTTATCGGTTCTACATCCTGCCTAGCCCTGCCTCTTAAGTCAAGAACACTAATCTCAGCCTCTGCGACGCGAATCATGTATTTCAAACATACTGGGTTTATATACAAACCAAAAAGATCATATCGCACCATAAAATAGGAAATAACATTTGTACAAGACCTAGCCAAGAGTGGCTACGAATGTGGGAGATAGTAATTGATAGACTGGGCATAATTCAAGAATGGTAAGTCGTATAATAATAGTTCATAGGTCAAAATAAAGCTCAGAATAAGAAAAACACGAATATGAATAGTTTAGTTACCTAATAATTATGCGATAAAAATATATGTATTGTATTAGTCCAGAAATAGATTCCAACAGTTACCAATCATTATTCCCATCGGGATATAACATAAGGGATCAGGATATCCGCGATATGTTCATTGTTTACTAAGTGTGCTGTATACGGAAGTTTTTCTCATTTTTCCGTTCATTCAGTGAGCGAACGCTAGACATCAGAATGTATTTTTCGTTAGAGGTTTCACTTCGAACCGAAATTTTCATTACACCGATGGCTTTTATTCTTCATGTGGAGCTGCGCTACGCTGATGCATTCATCAGAGAAAGTTGTGAATAGCCCTAGTTTCTTGAAATGAAATATATAGTGCAAAATATACTCTAATATGCGAAACCCAGACACTAAGTGGACAGATGAATGGCTAGTACTGGAGGATACGACATACACATTGAACGCTGAAAATGTTCCAGATAACCTCCGTCGACACAAGTAATGAGGAGTATCTGAAGTATATTTATACACATATATAGCTTGGAAAATATGTAATTAATTAGTATCTTACTTTAGTCTCCGTTATTTTGCGACTTTTTTGCCAATCCCATATTGAAATTACATGATCTGTAGCTTCGTCAACTGCACATAATTTAACTCCGCTATCCTATAAAAGTAAATAGTTTGATTAACAAAACGATAAATAAATACAAGCCAACAACGATAAAACACAAAATGAAACTGAATTATTACATCAATTTTTATTCACTCAACATGTTACTATTGGAAAACAAAGTAATGGACTGTATCCATGACGGAAGTTATTTGCAACAAACTCAAGGAATGTGATTTCTAGCACTTCTGGCTATTCTTTAGTTTATAAGTGTTGTGAAATGTGGTGTTCGAACGTTGATATTGATACGTAATTTGCCTATATATGAGACTAACCAGCTATTCGAATGAAAAGACTAAGATAAAGGAAGTCTATTAACTAAATCAATTCATTTATATCTGTATTCATTTATATAAGCATATGACTGTCCATATGAATGTTATTTTCATTAAAGATTTCATATTTGATTGTATTAACATTTTTCATACAGGTGTATTGAAACTTTGTTACACTGAACTGTTCACAACAGTTCAAAATGAAATCTTTAGTGAAAATTACCTCTTTCATAAGCAGTATTCATCTATTAAATGAATGGTCGAATGTTCAAGATTGTATTTTATAGAATTCAGTGCATAAGTTAAACATTCAAATCCTTCCATCCATCCATAGAGCAACAGAAGTTTCAACAGACAGATAATGATAGTATTAATAGTTCGAACAGAACAAATGTAGAATATATATATATATATATATATATCGATGATAACATCCCACATTTTGATATTAAATAACTTGAATTCGAATGTCATGCGAAGCATCACAACTCCTCAAAGATTATAGGTACACTTTAAGGACAGTTATAAATTAGCAGAAAACCTAACCCAAAGGTTTCAATTGCTTGTCTCTTAACTCCAAACATATATATATATATATATATATTCTCTAGTAGATAGATAACCATCAAAATTTCGTCAAATTTGAGTAGACTTTTTATCACCGACTTGAAATCAGCTGGAAAATCATCAAAAACCAAGAAGCGATGGAATCACTGGTCTCAAGTCAAAGTTGTCATATTCACATATACATACATTTTAATTAAACGTAAAGATGAAACACAGAATACCATTACCATTATAATAAGTTATCCAAGAAAATTTGCACCACCAAGGTAATAGAGGATGCAGCATATTCAACAACATTTAATTAAAACAATGATGTAGCATCAAGGATAAACAAGAATTATTTGAATTCATTTTGCATTGTTTATTTGAATCTTCCCATTGATATTTAGGATTGTAATTGATCATTCTCTTATAAACATATGTGCATCCTTTACGGATTGCCTCGATATTGCCTTAAGTCGCAAACATTATAAACAAAGATTGATGATGGCTAGCAGAGTAATCCAGGACGAGCGATTAGTCCCATTTGGGACTCGTCATCTGGATGTACTTGCATCCCAGAGTTGATTTTCACTCCAGGACTCGAATCCAATAGGATGAAATACGCGTCCTGGATTCCACTGCTAGCCACTACCCATCTTTGCTTAAGAATTAGTATTTTTCTATGAGATGGTAATACTTTAAAAAGAACTCAATCGTATTAATTATAAACCGAACAAAAATGAAATCCATTGATCATTACAAGCATATCACTAACTACATTTATCACATGAATTATGAAAATTCTACTTGAATAAGTCGATCAAAACTGTAGTGGCTGGTACTATGTCAAGCCAACATAGGCTATTATTCTAGCTTATGGACAGGCCAATATATTCATTCTTCTCAAGCCACTTTTGACTTCGTTAATCATTCACTTACTAACCCTGACTGTTTTTTAAATGATCATTTGTGTGTTAATTGCTTACCCTAGTCATTGTGTATGTAATTTATTTTTGTCTGAATATAAATATTGAGTCACGCTTGATTAAATCCGGTTGGCTCACTAGCCTTTTCCTCTGCACGTCACTTCGTTTCGTTTCGCTTCGCTTCCCTAATTGTATGTCCGGATCAATGTGTGCGTAGTATACGTATTCAAAATCCATTCTCGTATTTGGCTTATTTTATTCCGTTATTCTCCAATGCGAATTAATTCGATAAAAATATACGAGGATCGGCGGTATGTATATTTCGATAACAATAAGCACACGATTTAACTGGAGTCAGATATGGGGTCACTAAAACTCTTCAATTTGGTAATTTATTAACCTGAGATTGAAACTTAGTAACTAAGTATATGTTCATGTAATCCAGACTAAATTAAACTTCATTTAACACCGTCGGGTTAGATAAATCAAAGTAGTAGAGTCTTAAACTTGAGATTAAGTGACAGCCTCTCTCTACCAAATAATACAACTAATCAATCAAACTCGACATTGATACACATTCCATGTCTAAGGTCATCTAGTGATATTATAGGTCAGCCTAAAACAGTTTAAATACAGAGGTGTTCGAACATATGGTGAACTGCTCAGAAGCGAATGTCTGAATTCTAAATCTATTATCCCATTCTATGTTGGCCAATTGCTAATACTTGAAAAACACGAAGAAATAATGGTCAATAATTTTATTCATGATGATTATGATTCAACTAAACCTAAAACCAAACTGACTAGGCAAATATACTTAACTTTGACGATGCCGAAGTGTGAAGAGAGAAATAAGGAGGCAATGACAAATAATTGGAGCTATTTTTAGTGGGCTATTTCACTTGATTCTCCTATATTTTAGTTTGCATATGATTGTATTTTTCTCATTTCTTGCGTGTTTTGGTTTTGTTAGTCAACCACTCATTCATGCACCTTTTGAGTTAGTTTGAACCAGGAATAGATATTCTAACACTTCCCGCTCTCTCACTCTCCCTCTGTTTGTCAACCTATCAAATCATAGGTCAGTGGTAGGATAGTTCTTTTCTTTCTGTCCTCAAGGCCCTACAGTCACGAATCGAACTCACATGTTGCAAGTCTCAAGATCATACTAAGTCATATATCACATCGAAGATGTAGACTAGACCAAAACAACTCTCTTCTGACTGATAGATTCTGGGTTCGAATCTCGCGGGGGGGGGGCGGAATCGTGGATGCGCGCTGCTGAGGGGTCCCAAAACAGGACGAAACGGCTGTCCAACACTTCCACGTTTTCCATGGTGGTCTAGCTTCAAATGACCTATCATCTCAACCATTGGAATTAGAATAACAACGATAGATCATTTATAGTCATAATAACAATAGGAATAACAAAAGAGAAAAAAACACAAAAGAAAGTAATAAACAAACTAACCGTTTTTGAAAAAGACAAACAACAAACTGAACGTTCAAATTCGCCTAAACCAATAATTTTCAGTGTTTTCAAATCGACTGAACTCCAAATTCGTACATGTGGCTAGATTTTTTTGTTTGTAAATGATTTAAGGTAAAAACCGGAAAACAATTTTTTTATTTTGTCAAAAGAAAAATAAAAGATGGTAAAAGATATAACTGATCATGTTAATGCTGATGATGATACTACATTACCATTCCATATCAATATGGTTTTGTAAGTATAGCTTACTGATGAGAACAGTTGCAATAGTGATTTTTTATAATGGAGGTTTGTGGAGATTGTAATGATTGTAATAGTTGAATTCATGTGTCGATGTAAGCTAGACCATCATTGAAAACCTGGAAGCACTGGACGGATATTTGGTTTTAGTATGGGACTCCGTACCAGTGCGCATCCACGATCCTTCATCGCGAGATTCGAACCCAGGACGTTCGGACTCGCGCGTGATTTTTTTCTCTTCAATTTATTTACATTTAACACCGTTGAACATGTTTTGACACAGTTGGACAGTTAAATTAACTCAGTGACAAATAGGGACTTTTATTTGGTAAACTTGTTTGATATCATTTCACTATAGCTCTAGCTTAAATTTTGTTTCTTCTAATGTGTATACAAACTGTTTTACAGTTACTTATTTAAGACCATCACATAACGAATACATTGTCATAGATATTAAATATAATGAAGTACTTGTGAACTAGTAATCATGTTTATCTTGTACATCTTATACATCTTCGATTAACTTTTGTCTGACAATCTAAACCACATTGGATACTAATTGTATATTTGTTAACATTTTAAGTAGGAAGTTCCATGATTAAAGATTGAATTTACGATCCGTTTTTTAAACTATATTTGCATTCTCTTAGAAAATATTTTATATCATTTAGTTCCAATCTCAATATAATCAGATGTAAAATAAATAATCAATATCATATTATATTGTATGAGGATCATTGAAATTTATATTAAAGAAGTACACTTAACAACAACTTTATTGAAAATATATTCTATTCAATAAATAATCAATTTTCAGTTTAGGGGGTGTGGAGATTGTTAAGTTTTTGATTGAGATCATGAACCGATTGATGTTAGACCATCATTGAAAACCTGGAAGCACTGGACGGCCGTTTCGTCCTATTGTGGGACACCTCAGCAGTGCGCATCCACGATCCCGCTCGCAGGATTCGAACCCAGGGCCTTCAGTCTCGAGCGCGAACGCCTAACCTACCGGACCACTGAACCGGCATCCAATGGTGTTAATGTCTAGCCTCAACCAATCCACGAAGTTGCGCGACCATCTAACATTGTACAGAGGTAGACACTTGTTTCTACCCGACACAGATTTATTTTTTTTAATCATATCAATTAAGTTAGTTACAAATCTTTTTACTGTTTCATTATGATTTTCCTTTTTTTTCCAAATGCTGTATATAATCTTTTATTCGAATTGAATTATTTTGATGATATTATACTTAATTTTTTCAAGTAACATTTTAAGATGGATTGTTTCAATTCATTAAAAACCGATTTAAGTAGTAACTGTGTGCTTTTGCCTTTGTAATTATCATGTGACAAAATCGCTAATCCATATATGGAATTGTATGATCTTGTACCTGTGTTAATCTAATTATGAATCAACCAGAAATGGCAGTCTTGAAATGGCTCTGAGTACTTATTAGTTCTTCTCTACTAGCCCTTCCTACTGAGTCCAGAACACAATCTTAAACTTCACTGTATGAATCGTGTATTATAGATATACGTGGATTCTATTTAAACAGACCAGATCGCATCACACCATAAAATGACAAAAAATAATTATTATACGAAATCAAGCCAAAAACGTGGTTGTGAGTTTAGGATACTGTTGTTAATAAATTGGGAATAAATTAGGAATGATAAATCGTATAACAATGGCCTGTAAGTCAAATGGAAGCTTATGATAAAAGAAATACGACTATATATATATAATCTGGGTTACTTAATAGTTATATAATAACTATATTTGTTTATTTGAACACAAATATTGGTAAAAAAGGGGCACCGAATACATATGTGCCACACAAATCGTTAGATTTGTGTGTGGGCTGTGATACTGCTCAGGTGCCTAGACTGGAGCAGGTGGTTTTCTTAGGAAGCCACACCTGGAGCCTTTAACCAATAGGAGCAGTGTAAGGAGGTACAGTTCCACGGTAGCCGGTCGCCAACGATTGGTTTATACGCCATTTGTTCACTTAGGATCCTGGAACCCATGTGTACCATTGGTTTGGAATCAGGGTTTTCCAACTCCCCTAGGTGGACTCTCTGTGTCCACCAACCCGATTAAAGCGCCAGACATTCGCTTTTCGTCCTCTCAATTTCGTAAACAACACCCCCACCACGGTGTAATGAGTAGGACTTCCCTGGCAGAGGCTATATACGTGTGGCCATGTGAGAGCATTTCAAGAGGGAGAGCGGACTCTCATCTCTCGACCGTACCAGGGCATTTGGGGGCGGTTATATAGACTAAACTCTATCCGTGATGTAAAACATTTTCCTTAATAGATCTATTTCATTTCAAATACACTAATGACTTCTCGTATATCTTCTACTGTGTCAATAAACAGTAGATTGATGAATTCATTACTATTGTATGAATGCCTGAACATTTTAAAATATAATTCTTTCTAATTCACTTCTATTTTGATAAATAAATTCCTTGTCAATAATCAATTAAGAGACATAAGAGAGAGAGAACATTATGTTGTATTAATTTCACGACCCACACAATAAAAAAATAGTTACATTGTTTTCTCATCCATTTTTATCCGTTTCATGATGGATATCATTAAAAAGTATCATTCATTAAAAATAAACCGCATACAACATTGTACTACAGTTGATTATCATTGAGAATAATTGAACATTAACCATATGTTAATATTTATGTAAACACATAAACATCAGTACAAAGAGTCATCAAATATACGTGCGCCACACTTCATCATTCGATTTGCATGTGAAGACAAAGATTCTGTCCGGGTGTCCAAAATGAATCAGGTGGTTTTCGTAGGAGACCAACCACTCCTCCGACCATTCATCTAGAGGACTAATTCATAAAGTAGTGGAACAACGTTAGGAGGTCCAGTTCCATGGTAGTCGGTGACCAACAATAGGTTCACATGTCATTTGTTCCCTCAGGATCCTGGAATTCATGTGCACTATTGATTTAAAATCAGAATTTTCCAACTCGTCTAGGTGGATCCTCCATATCCACTAACCCAGTTAAGGCATCGGACATTCGCTTTTCATCCTCTCAATTTCGTGAACGAAAGTAATGTCGCGAGAAGGCAGTGAATAGGACTTCTGTGGTAGTGGCTGTATAGACGTAGCCATATGAGAGCATTTCGAGAGGGAGAGTGGACTCACAAAGAAAACTAGAAATAGGTGGATTATGATATACGCATAGAACGAGAAAATCTATAACTTTTGGTTTGAGTTGTTTTGATAGATGAAGACTATCTGATTAAGATTCACATACGATAATAATTACTGATTGTTAAAGATGTTGAGTGACATGTTCCAAAATCAGCCGGAGTGGTGAAGATGGACTTATTCATTTACTTTATGGTTCCAGATCATGTGTTTCTAAAAACTATTTCATGCATTTCGTTCCACGATTTCATTATTCCCCAAACCAAATAGAATCCCTACTAATATTCTTATACTACGATTTGTACTAATCTTACTACTCCTGCCATCTTGATATTGATTTTTTATCCCATCTTACAGTGATATGATATGATAACTTGGTCTGATATGAGTCTATACCAGGTTCTACGTTGCTTATGATTGACTAATAGACTGATTATGTTATATCACAGACTGAGTGTAATGAGACCATAATATTCCAACTCAATGGTCTAAAGGAATGATGTTCTCAGCAAAGCATGAATGTTTTGGGTCTAACTTAATGAAGAGATGTGTAGTATTGTGAAGTCCACAACTAAGGGATAAACGTTGACTTAGTTTCAGTAGTTCGTTACTGGTCACAACAATTCAAAGTAACGAAAAAACATCTCAATTACCGATTAGATGAAACTTAAGGACCAACAGTAAACAAAGAAATTGACGAAAGACGAAAACTATGGAGGAGGATAAATTATTTAGACAACATTTTAAAAAAATCATCAGTTATGAAGTAACAGGATCATTAAAATTTAACGAAAGAGAAACCATCATAATGTAGAGACGGTCATGATCGAATCTAAGAGATAGAATTTAATTGGTAACTTTTATGTCACAGATTAATCTCAGTTGGGATATCAATGAAAACCAGAGAACACTGAACAGATGTTTCATCTAAGAATAAGACTTCTTGGCATTATCCACATCGCCGATAGGAGTCAAACGTAAGATCTTCAGATGTTGCAAAGAACACTTAACCATTAAAACCACAGGGTCAGTGTCCATCACTTCAGGATATGTGACGATGTTTATTTATTAAGTTCCATTGATGACTACTGCTTCACTTATGATATGTCTGAACCCTACCAATTAAAACTTTATATACGTTTTGAAATCTTATATTCTCAGCATATTAAAGACATCAAATGATTACCGACAACACAATGTGACATAATTTTTGATTTGTACATTATCTATCTTTTCCTAATTATCTTCTGCACTTGTCAATATAAAATTATTTGACTAAAGAGGTGATTGCAAATACGCTATGTCGTTTGCTAATCGAATTATTTAACTGAGATTAATACACTGAATAGATGTTTGGGTTTTCATAGTCAAATACTCGTATCTTGTAATTAATAAGCTATTAGAGAAGATATACAACATGTTGCTAGGCAACTATAAATAATATATCAGTAACGATGACGATATCCAAAATATAGTTTAAGAAAGTATTTTCTTTTAAAAAAAATCAAAATTTCGGCTAAATATAATTTAATCTTAAATTTACAGTTTTCAGAATTTTTCACCATTTCGGTGAACAATTAACTGTACAGTCAGATATGACAGATCAGTCAGGTGTGAGGATAACTATCCTGTTTCAGTATTTTATAAAGTTGTGATATCTAGCATTTTCAAGTATTCTTCTGTTCATTGGAAAGACAAAAGTATAATTTACTGACGAATCACTCATATGTAAGATAACAACTATTGAAATTTTCTACTAAATTCAATATATGATGACGGAAAACTTGCAACTTATTAACAGCTAAGAAGGCGGAAGTTACTAGGTCGCTTAAAATTTCATAAACATGACAAAAACTACACAATTAGGGACGAATTGGAGCAGTGATTGGAACCATCTCTTTTGATATTCAATAAAAGTGCGAAGTCCAACATTTTCCAATACTTTCTCTGTTCACTTTGTGGGTCACTGGGGAATTGGAGTTAAACAGACTCCACAGATTACCGTATTTTACGAGGTATGTATGTCATGTAGTTATTTGTATTAAAAAAGAACAGAAATAATTCAATTGATTAAGGATAAAAAGGAAGTGTGCTTCGTATACACATATATATCAGTCCAAGTTCTTTCAGATGGAAATCAGAGTAATCGTAGTAAAATCAGTATCTTCAGTATTATGTAAAAAAAAAGAAAATAGAGTGCAAAAGAACTCATAAGACTGAGAAATATGAAATCATTGTTGTTTTCTGAGGTCCGATTCGACTATAACACGTAGGCTGAGACATTAAGTAGGTACATCATTGACTTTTTTCAATAGTTTGTCCCGTCTGTAATTTCACAACTAACGTTTGAGCTCCGCGATGCACAGTGCAACACAACAATCAATGACCTTAAGAATTTATTTCATGTCAATGATCGTAGGTTGTACCTCCGATGTTACTCACCATTTCATAAAATGGGAAAAAGTAATTCTAGACATTTTATCCAATGATTATTTAGTGAATACGCCGTACTATTATATGAAACTCTACATATCTGACTTCATCGGCATTACACATTCTCCGTAAGTGTCACATAATTACAAACTGACGGAAGAAAAAAACAGCACTCACTTTTCCAAACTGTTTATCATGTCCTGCAGACTGACCAGTAGCCACAGTAATACGATCAGGATGGATAGCAATGCTATATTCAAAGTAAAAATACAAGACGGAAATTGTATTCTACTCCTTTTTTGCTTACAACAAGTAACAATAAGTAAATAGAATGACTGTTCTGTTTATAGATTTTTCCCGCTTAAAACTATATTTTGGCAACAAGCCAAGTCACAAAAATTCAGTCAAAGAGAAATGGAAGCTAAAAATTAGCTTCAAAGAAAAAACTATCCAGAAAAGAGGGAAATCATTTTTTCTACAACTTTAAATTAATCTATACATACTCAATCAATAAAACATACTAGTAATGTGGAATTTCCTGCATGCAACAACACACTAGAAACTATGCTACATTATGTAAAGATAATTTATAATCAAAAAAGAATAATAATGATGATAGTAATAAAATGCCATGGTACGGTAGGTGGTAGGGAGAGTCAGCTCTCTCGCTTGAAATGCTCTCACATGGCTGCGTCTATACACTGCCTTCTCGCGACATTACTTTCGTTCACGAAATTGAGAGGATGAAAAGCGAATGTCCGATGCCTTAACTGGGTTAGTGGATATGGAGGATCCACCTAGACGAGTTGGAAAATCCTGATTTTAAATCAATAGTGCACATGAATTCCAGGATCCTGAGGGAACAAATGACATGTGAACCTATTGTTGGTCACCGACTACCATGGAACTGGACCTCCTAACGTTGTTCCACTACTTTATGAATTAGTCCTCTAGATGAATGGTCGGAGGAGTGGTTGGTCTCCTACGAAAACCACCTGATTCATTTTGGACACCCGGACAGAATCTTTGTCTTCACACACAAATCGGATGATGAAATGTGGTACACGTATATTTGATGACTCTTTGTACTGATGTTTATGTGTTTAAATAATTAAATAATAATCGATTTTCTTAACCAAACAGGACGAAACAACAGATGATCAATGATGAGCCTATAATATATATAATGAACACATAATTAGTTATTCAAAAACGGAGTCATAGGGCGAATGTTTTCATACTCATTCGATCAATAGGATATTGTTTGTACAACTGTTAAGTATATCTTTTACAGCTTTTATACAATAAATTGTAACACAGTAGAATCTTGGATAAATTGTTCAAAGTACTTGTATTATTCATGAATAATAATTTTTTTATTATCTTAACAAATTCTGAAAAGTAACCAGAGACCCTAAAGCGTCCTATAAGTCAATCCAGTAACTTATTGAGGAATAGATATTTCAGTAACTCAATTTCCCTCCTGATATCACTATTCAATGGGATCCATTTTCATTCAATGAAGTCACGTTGACAAGTTTAATCAATTTATAATATCAGTTTATTTTCGATAAAGTTGTTTGATTATCTGAAAATGTTTCATCCAAGTTAGTAATTTACAACAAGAAATATATGGAATCTTAAAAGAAATAATACTTTTTGTGAGTTTTGAATTCGTGTTACTTAGTCCCATAGTAAGACTAACAACTATTGAGCTAACTAATCACATCTATCAGTAGACCTAAATCTACGGTTTCATTCTGATTGTTACCAGACATTTAACATCAAAAAATAGTATATGCATTATCGTAGTCATATAACAGGGGGTGGAAAATTGGAGAACTGCGAAAGCCATCATCCAGAAGATATAGGTGTTTATTAATAGGTATCTACGCAAAATACTACGGATCCGTTGACCTGACACGATCAGCAACAACCTACTGTGGGAGGGAACAAACCAGATCCCAGCAGAGGAAGAAATCAGAAAGAAGCGATGGAAGTGGATAATACACGCATTAAGGGAATCACCTAACACCGTCACAAGACAAGCCCTCACATGGAATCCTCAAGGTCAAAACAAGAGAGGAAGACCAAAGAACACATTACGCCGGAAAATGGACATAGACATGAGAAAAATGAACAAGAATTGGATGGAACTAGAAAAGAAGGCACAGGACAGAGTGGGTTGGAGAATGCTGGTCGGTGGCCTATGCTTCATTAGGAGTAACAGGCGTAAGTAAGTAAGTCAGATGACAGATTGGTTGTTGGAACTCGATTAGCACTAAGAACTAGATAAACATGGTATTCACCACTTTCTCAATGATCAATAAATACAAAGTCGAATATCCTAGATACAACTATTTCGAATGACATTATTAAAAAAGATAATATAGTAGAACATGATTATTATGAAATTCCTTGTATATTTAGCGAAATAAACAAATATTAATAATTTCACTGATTGAAATCATGAGTTAATTGAAGCTAGACCACCATGGAAAACCTGAAAGCACTGGATGGCCGTTTCGTCCTAGTATGGGACTCCTCATCATATGCTCACTAGTAACTGACTTCAAGAGATACTCTTGGAGTTCTAGTGGGAAACCGTTACCAGTCGAGTTCAACCAGGTCTGTTGTGAGATATCGACTCACTGAAGACAATGGTGTACGGTGGAGCGACTTCATGGATTGGTTGAAGTTAGGCATTAACACCATTGGGTTATAGCTCAGAGGTCTAGTTGGTCAGGCGCTTGGCGCGAGGCTGGTAGGTCCTGGGTTCGAATCTCGTGGGGTGCGGGATCGTGGACGTGCACTGCTGAGGAGTCCCAAGATCGGACGAAACGGCCGTCCAGTGCTCCGAGGTTTTCCATGGTGTTCTAGCTTCAATTGACCCATGATTTCAATCAGTGAAATTTCTAAAATCTCCACAAAACACCTGAAAATATTTAAAATTTATGAGAAATCAAACAAACAAAAAAATTGGCAAAAATTCAAACTATTACTACTGAAAATCGATCAACTGAACATTGGAGTACAATAGAGATTGATTATTTAACAAAATTCATGTAACTGATCTCATATTTATATGTATACACATACTTAATGTATACCGGTTAACTGACAGATTACACATATAGTTCCTTCATTATTAAGTATTTAAATTACAATCTATATTGTATTATAAACAATAAACAGGCAATATCTGTATAGTTCAGTGTTACATAAAAATGTATAAATTCTAAGAAAGTTATCTGAAATATCTCTCTTACTGTAATAAAACAAACAAGGTTATATTTACACATGTATTATCTATGTAAATGACAAGGTATATTAAAAGTAGAAATCAAATCATACTACTGAAATAAGAATATATAACAAGAAACGTGAACACATATATACATATAAACATGCACAAAATGAACAATACAAATATGTTCAGTAATCAAACGATTTTGTTATTCTACTAAAACCGAGGATAAATTTTCATGACCGCCCTTATTTTTTGATAGAAGGTATTTATTTAAAATTTCACTTTTTCTTCATATAACCATCATATATTCCATACCCCTTTGTATTTGCTCCAAAATGAAAAACGGTTTAAGAGCAAAATATATGTAAATAAATTGATGAATAAAGAAGATATCAATGATAATCCATTGAAAAACAATATGTTTACAAAGGTCTGTTAACTTTGTTGTTGTTTTTTTTGTGACATGAGTTGTGTATTGTTTAGTCTAAAGTTCACTATTGTTAACTTTTCAATGCTTATACTTAAACAAAAGAATATTTACATTGATGAATTAGTGAGAAGTAACTAACATGCTGTGTTTCCGAGTCAAATTCTATTTGTAATGTGATCATCTATCTAAATGTTTGAAGATTCCATATAATATGTTTTGATAATTGGCAATTGGAAATAGTCGACAGGAAACCCTGTTCGACCTAGGTTTTGTGGTATTTTGCACTCGTCACCGATGGGTACTCAGAATCTTAAGAGGGTTGTTTTTTGATGGGTTCAATGAGTGACAAATACCATGAAACATATATTCAGTTTCCTGTCAATTAGCTCCGACCATAACATCAAAAAATATTGATTCAAAAATAATGTTTCATTAACTTGAGATGGTTTGTGGTAATTTTCATCATATTTTGTTCTCTAAGCTGGATAGTTTCGATTGTAAATCGTTCATTGCCATTCTACACGAAGATTAACAGGATTTACTTGACATCCAAATATGCTTTTCGGAGTTGTCAAGATAACCTGTTCTAATGATCTCTTCTTCAATTGTTCTATTTGTCTTTATGTATTTCTTTTGGACTTCCATGAATTATTTTTTGTCAAAATGATCATGTGATAAACTGACCTTGTTCTCGTGAGTTGGAACTACATCAATATGTTTATTGATTACGTAAAAACTTGGATGAGACCTTGTTAAAAACAGTCTTTGATCTACAATTTAGATGATTTACAGTCAAAGTTACCCTGATAGTCTATGCTAGTATTGCATGACTAGTATAATTTATTTTAGAAATACTGTTGGATAACACTATTCAGTGTTTCACTCTCGAGATTGAATACTATATAAAATGAAATAATTGCACTAGCTGTTAAAATTTTCAACATCCAAGTAATGATATGCGACACAGTATTCACGAATGAGGTTTGTTAAGGATGATTTTAAGATAGTAGGTTGATAAATATTGATGAATTTGCAAGGAAGACTATTCTTTCAGTTAATCTGTTGGGGATGCTAGATCCCCAGAAATCAACTGGTAAACGTCTTATTTTCGTAATTTCATTTTAGAAATTTGAGCTCCTCATTTTTTGAGACAAAAGCGCCCGTTTTTACCTTCAGATTGAATTTCCCACTCGGAAGGACCCTAAATGTCATTCGTTCGTTTCCTCTTTGAGTACGCTATTTTATGACGTTTCTTAAGGACCATTTTATACCATATATGTGCTCGGGTTGTATGCTTGGTTCGTTCGAGCTTCTGGATGCTTGTGCAATATATCTTTCCCTCATCTGAATCTGGTATTCTCCCTCTGCTTAGCAGGAATGAGGTGAATTGGAATAGATTAGTTTGTCTTGTTGTTTTGTTACAGACCTTCGTTCCATTTGCCAGTTTAGGTGATAACGTAACCTCTTCAAACATAGTAGAACTGAAACTGATTAACATTTATTTTTATTGTGATAATTGGGGTGATGCATCAGATTATGTTTCGTTTTACACACAGATTATTTCATGTGA